CGATGAGACGAGACCTCAATCTTCATTTGCGGGGGGTATGAGGGCATAAGAGTGTTGAGTGCTGGTCTATGAGAGCAGGCCGTGCCGATAGCGTTTGGAAGGAAGGGGAGAGGGAGATCGGGGGACGGGAGAAGGGCCGCCAGGGGGGCCTGGGGGGGGGTGGGGGGCGGGAGGTAGGTAGAGCACAAGGTAGGGGCGGATATGAAGGAAAGGCGTGGCAGAGTATGCGGATTGGATGGTAAGGCGGGGGACCATAGTTGTCATTTGCGGTGATAGGTAGAGTCTGGAGAAAGACAAGAGAGGGGCGGAATTGGTAGGGGCGGGAAGGTGTGAGGTTCAGTGGGTGGGTTCGTTCCTGCCCTGTTGCTTGGGGGTGTAATGAGTACTGGTGCAGGCGCTGCTGTTAATAGGTTCTCTGCAGGGGTGAGGGGGGGGGGAGGGGGGGGAAAGGGGGGGGGCTGGGGGGGGGGGGTGGGGCGGGGGCGGGTGGGGGGGGGGGCGAGGGCGGTGCTGTTGTGCGGAGGGAGTTTCCTCGTGGGGATCGCGCCTGGCACGGGCGCCGCGCGACTTCCTCACAGTGCTCTGCGCCACTGATATACAGCGAGCAGCGACAGTTGTGACGGAAGGCACATGTTCCAGGATCAGAGGCTCACCAGTGCTCAAGTAGTCCATGCATATGTTTCTCATCCAGCGTGTATGGTTGCGTTCATCTCTTCGATGTCTCGCTAGGCTCCGTCACGATACCTACTATATTACAACACAACATGATAGATGCTTTGTTACCACTTCTTTATTCAGTTTTCAAAGCTGAGAAGATGAGGGCAGGAGTAAGCAAGAGGGGAAGGTGGAGGAATAGGTATGTTGTGATACATTGCTGTGGTTAATTTATAATACTGGAGGTGTAGAGAGTGGTCTCCCCACCGGTGAATGGCTGGCTGATCTTCCTGCGAAGGTCTGCGGAGACCCTGTCCAGCTCCCTCTTGCTTGCCTCTCAAGCTCAGCTGCAGAAGATTGACTATAACTCCTCACTTTTACATCGATGATCTCCACAATCTGGTCTTCATGGAGTCGGCCTCGCCATACAGTTCATTCATTTTCCCCTTTTTTTTTTCCTGCACTTCCGTCTCCTGCAGGCATTCAGAGACATAGAGAACACGGTGATAAATCACCGATGGTTGAATCACCTCAAAGTGTATAGTTCGCTGGTTATTCTCTGGATCTCTGCTTTCGAAACAGTTCTCGACTTTTCTCTGCATGTCCATCAGTTCACCTTCCAGCACACATCAACGGACACAAACGTATGTATGGACCAGTAGAATGTATATGTGGGCTACATGATGGTGCATACTTCTCAGCCTGAGCTCGGGCTTCTTGAGATAGTCCAGTTCATCTTTTCTTTTTTTGCATACCCTCTTACACTCGCACTCTATATGGTATAAATAGCATAGGGCAGATGAACAGGCAGAGCTATACGATACGATAAACAAACCTTTTCCCTCTTGAGTTTATGGGATTGGAGTTTCGAGTTGCCTTGAGTATCGCGTGAGGCAATATCTCTGTCAAACTTAGCTTCAGAGCCTTGGCTTCACGAGAGGCTGCATGTAGTGTAATACACACACACACAGTGTGCTAGGGAGCAGTGAGGAGCAGAGCAGAAGATTAGCGGGGAGTCATCCTGGGGCAGAAATATGACGTGCGTGGGATGGCATTCGAGACACCTAAATGGTTTGATCATCTGGAAACAAACAGCCATTAGAAAGGCCAATTATGTCTTGGCTAAGTGACATCACATACTCCCGGTATACGTCTCCAATGCGAGCTGTGAGCTTCATATTCTGCTCATTACATAGCACAAGAATCGCACATATATACTCACACATTGGTAACAGCCTCAACATGACCATCTCTCCTATCTTTCAAGAGAATATCCACAGTCTTCCCTCAATCTTGGTTGCTGTAAACACATTGAAAAAACTAACCACAGTAGAAGTGATTCAATACAGAACACGATGCAATCCTCAGTGCTAAAACACCAACACAATCCCTATCCCTGATTAGTAAAATGCTGCAAAATATAATGTGGGAAAAAAAACATGCCTCCTTGAGGGCCCTGAGCATTTCGTGGCAAGTGACCTGTGTCCGCCGATGTCCCGAATCTAAGCTTCACCACTGCCACGCAACTCTCTCCCCAACCAACTGCACAACTTATCAATACGATAAGTAATGGAGCTACATAAAATATATGTAATAGGTCCACCTTTGGATCGTGTACAAACGCTCACCTTCGTACTGGGTGGCTGATCCCCAGTAGTGGCTAATTTCAGGCACTACCTATTACTGTCTGCGAAAAGAAAAAAAAGCAGTGGGTAACATCAACAACCTTTGCAGTTTAACAAGAGAAAGGCCACAAAAAAGAAAAAAAAAAGGAAATGGTCAAATTTGTGAGTTGGTCTGGTATACTCTTAATCCATAGCTCTCTCAACAGTGGGCACTATTTTTCTGTGAGTTTTTCACCGAAGTTCTAATGGGACGTGTGCAACTCCACAGCATCCTAGTCCACAAATTGACCACCTTTTTATGAAAATTATTACTGGTAACTACTGCAAATCTTATACCAGTAACTTTTTGTTGTGTCCATGCTAAAAACACAGCTCAAGAATATGCAAGCAGGCTGCTTGCCGTTTCCCGGCGCCGTTCTGGCCAGTTATGAGTGGTGAGAGGCGTGGCCAAACTGAATGAAGCATTCTTCCTATACGAATCCCCAGTACCGAAACTGCGTATCCTGCGACAGAAGAAGTAGACGCGCTAGGTTATTTCCAATTGGGGAAATGCACAGCTCCCAAAAGACTGGTCGTCACACGCAAAGGACAGCAAGCAAACATTCACCTTGGATGAGGAGTTTGTCAACGGAAGACATCATGCCTGCAGAGCTCTCCGCCTAAGCCTCAGCTGGCCTTCCAATGATCTTCGTGTCGTACACACGCGAACAGCAGCGAGGTACGCGCGCATACACGTACGGTACTGGTACGTACCGCTTGGTCCGAAGCGGCGGGGAGGGGGGTATAGCGGCAATCTGATTTCGCTCTGTGATCGGAGGAATAAATCATAATACAAAGAGACGGTCTGCAATGCCAACAGACGATCGGAGAAAGAGAGCAGTGGTGGCGCACACGAAAGAGGAGAAGAGACAGATGTCATATGATAAAACAAGAGACATGGAGCATACATACTGACAGACAGAAGAAACACGCGAACGGATACAGCTGAGAGCGCTGTGTGTCAGCTGCGTGATGCTGAAGAGTGCTGCTGGGGGGCATATGGGAGAGAAGATCTTCTTTTGCTTGTGAGTTGATGAGTTGATATGCTTCTGGCAAGAGCGTGTAGGGGCGGTTGGCTTGTCGCCAGTCTACCAAGTACGGAGGTGGGCCGCTGGGGGCGAGTGTGGGAAGCTGGATGGCCACCTCTGGTCAGCAGTTGTGGGGTTGATGTCGTCTCAGTAGCTTCGGTTACGGAGAACAACCTCCAAAAACACCGTGTGGAGGGTGTGCGTATATATATGGAGGCGAGGGTGGTGTGGAAGAGGGGGAGATGAGAGGAAAGAGGAGGAGTAGGGGGTGTGGGAGGGGGGATTGGGTGGGGAGAGAGAGGAGAGAGGAGAGGGTGGAAGAGGAGCAGGAAGAGGAGACAGAGATAGTAGCGCTAGGAAAGATGATGAGTTGGTGGGTAAATTTGTGTAAGATGAGAGTGGCACCCCATCACCAAGAAGATTGTTCTGAAGAAGAAACAGTCGACGATCTTACAACGATGCCACACTCTGCAGGCCACATCCTAGAGACAACGGGGGGGTCTGGCGAGCTGTACATCGTAATCTCCATACGTAACGCATACAACAACACAGAAAGAGCCACCGTTAGAGTGTTGAAAAGAAGAGAACGCAATCTTTACGTGGATTCCCCTCTGCTGAATGACGGAGTAATATATAATAGCCCACACTCAATCGAGGTGAGTAGTGACTCGGGGGACTGAGAAGATTGAGTGAACTCTAGCCTCGTGAAGGTTCGTGAGTCGAGGGGGAGTAGGTGTTCCTGAGGAGGCTGGTGTAGCGTCGAGAGAAGGTAGCCGTGCCTCATGAAGGGCCGGGGGTCACACTCGGAGAAGGCAGCCAGGGGATAGAGATGCCGGTGAGGAGGTCGAGGTTGGAAACACGCAGAAGGCGTCGCTCGACGGGGGGGTTATCCATGTGAGCAAGTGCGTGAGGACGAGCGGACAGGAACGACATTTCCACTGCCACGTAGCCCACGTCAGGTCGGTCTAGCAGGCGTACGCATTCGCGAGACGTCGTTGCCGAGCATCTGGATTATAGGGGCCACGACCTGGCGATTTCCAGAGGCACCAGTAATGGGACGAGGGGTTGTTAAATTTCTGGAATTTGGAGATTTGTCACAAAATCTGATAACATTTCAGTGCACATCCTAAGTTCGTTCAATTGATGCATACCTTGAAAGTGAAGCCGAAGAGGATGGGGAAGGTTTCTCAACACGTACGAGATGGATGCACCTCACATGCTCTGCTCATGTTGATCCCTCTCAGAGAACCTGACGATGTCTGCCACAAATCACACACTCGCGAACTCATTGGTCATAGTATTGAGTGCTAGCACACTCACCGGCCCTTGACGAATATAGCACTGCTGCCAGACGTCTTCTCGACACCTACTAAGGAAGGAGGATGCTGGTAGCAGGGGTTAATGGTGAATATGCTAGAGATAAAGGCGTAAATTTAGATCTCCTCGTTTCAAGGAAGAGATACGCTACCAGCCGGGGTGATATGTTGATGTGTCGTCCCAATAGTCGCCTTTCAAAGTGTACGCCTCGGATTCCAGGGAAGGGCAGCCAACACAACATGGTCCTATGCACTCTATGCTTAGGGCATCGTCCTATACACACACAAACAACACAGACAGCATGAGACAGCGAAGAAATGTATATACGGGCGCGGGTTGCTCTCACATGTTCTCCCAGTTGGCCGCAACTTCCTGCCAAACCAGCAGCGAGCCGCAGGGTCACCATCTTTTCCTCTCTTCCCTTTGTTTCTCTTTCTACTAATTGTCCTCTTTTTGCCCTTCTGGAGCTCTATGGATCACACACCACGTCAAACATTTGGCTAAAGTCCAATAATAATGTAAACACGGGAGTAAGAGGTCACCTTTTCTGCGAGCACCAGCCACCATCTCTTCGTAGAGTTCTGGTGTTTTTCACTTCGGCAGCCGATTTAGCCGGAAGAGTTCTGTATAATAATACATTCAACAGTAGTGCTCACACAAGACAGAGGGACTTATGAACTATCCTACATACAGCACACCACGTAATGTATATAGACAGCAAGAATGAGAGAATGTGTTGTTGCTTGGTGCTCTGACCGAGGTCTTCCCTGGAGGATGAGTCCCGTGGTAGAGGAGGCAGCCAGCATCCCCTGAGACCTGGCATCCACTGACCCAACATATGACAGCTTGTTCTTACTGCACCACCACACACCGAGGGAGGGGAAAACAAAGAAAACATTATATTATTATACAGTATGCATGTAATATTCCATGCAATGCCCACAATCGCACAGGATGTAGTGTCAAGGAACATTACACATACATACAGTGATCTAGTCACATAACAGACTGGCTTGTAGCAAAGACAAACGTACACAACAAGGTAACCACATGACCAGGGGCCAAAGGCTATTAGGGGAAGGTGGAGCACACAGAACAAGGAGAGCAGACAATTTCTGTATGCATCAGTGTCATCGCGCTCAGACGCTGCACTCGATATGCCACCACGACACTCTGCAGAACATCAACTGGCAATCAAGTGCCTCAGCCTCCCACACCAACTTCCCACATTAGGCACTGAGCTTCAGAAGACATTGTACATACATACAATATCAATGGGATATAACTTTCTTTTTTTAACCACCAGACTTAGAGGGTAAATGATATTATCAACTCGACCCAGGTGGAATTTCATCTCTCGCCCCTCTCCCTCTTTTCTCTCCCTCCATCTCACCTTGTCCTGCTGAAGACTGCCCGGAAGCCTTTGGGTGAAGTCCAGCCGAGACCCAGACTGGACCTCCGTGGAGCTCCCTGCAGGGAGACGGCGTCCGGGGCTACCTCTCCTCTCACTGGTGGCGGGGGGAAGTTGTTGAGGGACTGGGTGTCGAGGGAGAAGGAGGCCAGGGAGGATGTGGTGTCGTCACCACTGGAGCTCCGTCCTTCCCCTTGTCTCTTGTCTGAGGACTCCAGCGATATACTCCCTTTTTCTCCAACTTCTTCTTTTTCAGTATCATCTATGGGGTTACACAAGATTACTCAAACTGCTTGACTGAGAGGTGCATGACGGTTGTAAACATGTTGCTGTTGCTGGTGGTTACAAATCCACTTTGGATTTTTTGTTACTGTACAAAACAAAAAGCATAGTACAATGTGTCAAAATGGTGCAGTTTTCAAGATAAACCACTAGCAAATCACAATGACACCCCACTCTGAGACAGAGAAATGCTCACCAAAGCCATCCCCTCCCTCTTTCTCGTCACAGCCAGAACCCGATGACATCGGCGTGCCTCTCACACCTTTGTTCAAGTCTCCCAGAGCCTGTTCCACCTCCCTCAGACCCAGGCGAAGCTCGGCCGTGGCCAGGAGATCTTCCTCCGCGGTCACCAACGGAGGAACGCTGTCGGACGTCACGCTACTGGGGTTGGAGACACCGGAGTCGGTCGTGCTCGACTCGACGTGGTGTAGCCCCGCACCAACTTGGTTGCTGTTGGTGGGGACGGCCAGGGGAAGACTACCGTTCCCCACAGACCAGCTGTCGTCTACCGAAAGCGTCTGTTCTGAGGTTTCGAGCTTCGCCTCTGTGGTACTGTCTTCGTTCCCGGGGAGCGCAGAGACCTCGAATACCGTCTCCACTACACTAGCAAGGTCGGCAGCCATTTACACTCAGTCTCGCCGTACGCGCGCACCCCTCTAATTAGTACTGTGTAAGCGCAATGAATGACAACAATACGGTTGCCCTATGCAAAACATGATGATATTGGAAGCTACTATGATTCTGGCTGGAGATTGATCAATGAGTTACTGGCACTGGCGAGTTCGGCAATGGAGACGCGGCCCCTCTGACGGATGAACGTTGCAACAGACTTCAGTTCCTCCTCTGAGATGAAGATGAACTTGCCCCTGTCATCAATGACACCCGTCAAATCTCCACTCTCCTGCAACTCATTAACACGGTCAATTGCATCCTGTAGACCAGAGTTCAGCCACTGTCATTAGCAACCAACAACACGTGGATAAGTAGTAAACAAACTTGAGTTTTGAGGTTGAACTCTACAGCAAGATTCTCCAAATACACCACCTTCTCCCTCTGTTGTAACACCACACAAAAATTTTCAGTTGACCAAGCTCTTATACACATACACACCACACGTTCACCTTTATGTAGTCGATGAAATCCTGCACTCCTCTTGCCTGAGATGAGAGAACTAGACGTGCTCAAGAGATTAACTCAACTCACACACTCACCTCCTCCTCCTCCTCCTCACCCTGCTCCCCTTCCTCCTCCACTGTGAATGCCTCCCGTAGCTTCAGGTACTCCTCGTGCTCCTGTCTCTCCTTCTCCAACCTCAGACTCTCCTGCTCCTCCTCCTAAACCCACAATTAACGCATTTTTGGCAAGTGAAAGCGAGAGTCACGGCATGGACAATTACAAGATATACACCTCTTGCTTTTTTCTTGCTCCTTCCTCAGCCTCGGCACTCTTTATTTCCTCCTCCCTTAGGGCTTCACGTTTCTTACGATCTTCACGAATCGCCTCCTCTTGCTACGAACAAAAGAAAACGTGTTAATTTTTGGTGATGTCGTCAGACGTCACAAAAAGCAAAGGGGAAGCAAGCATGGATCAAGAAACAGGCAATCACGATAACATACCTCTCTCATGACTTTCTTCTCTGCCTTGTCCTTCATCTTGCGAAGCTTTTTCGTACCAATTTTTCTGAACGGAGATGCCTCTTCTTCCTCAGGAACGGCCAGATCTGGGAGGAAACAACGAGCATTCTCACGTGCTCAATAAAACATAGTATATACCTTCATCTTCTTCGGCCACCTCCTCCCCTGCTATGTTGGCTCGGGCTCTCCTCAGAGCTGCCGCTCTAGCTCTAAGAGTCCTACCTCGCCGCATCTGCTGTTGCTGTTGTTGTCCGCCGCCTGCGTCTTCGGCCTCTGGTTCCACTCCATCTGAATGAGTGGTCGTGTTCTATTTAATGCACACCGGACACTTTCTACTCACCGCGTTTATCTGTTCCTCGTCTGAAGGTTATCAATGAGAGGATTACCAATAGCACAGCTACTACGGCCGCCAAACCAAGCCAAAGTAGCGGATCCATCAGTTTACCGTCTTCTTCCACACGGACGTGCCAACCACGCATGCGCGCGGTGACCGAGAGGGGCGGGGCTGGCGCAGAAACTCCCACGGGGATCAGACCACGCTAAATACGACCCTCGCTGAGCTAGGAGAAGTCAGTAAAAAGACAGAAAGCGGGACAACTACTCTGTGTGTGCGAGGGTCCAAAGTAAAGTCCAAGCCGTGCAGTGGAACAAGAGCACACGACCTAAATCTGAGTGTTCGAAAGTTCTGGCTCACCTCCCGACATCCAACCAGAGTGAGTGAGTTGTTCGGCGAACTTTTGTAAACAAGCTCTCTCCCTATGATACGAAATGGTGCTGGCGAGCATGGTTTGGCTGCTCAAGCCTTATAGACTAATGCATTTGACGGGACTATCGAGGTCTGGCTCAGTAAGAATACCTGCTGTGTATGTTTAGTATAAAAATGCTTGCTACAAACGATCTGGTGTCATATCACTGCACACATCTGCTCATTTCAGTCTAGAGTTACCTCCACAATAGAAGCATGTAGCATTGCCCATTCATGTAGCAAATTGTAGGCATCACGCCTTTCCAGGTCTTATTACAGCATGGCAGACTGTCAGTTGGCTATGTTCTTTTGCATACTCTACTCTTGTGAACCTGCTAAAGACAGTTTTCCTTCCATTTAATCAGCAAAATCAATAGAGCTAATTGTACCACTTGATAGTATTTCTACTGGTAATCTAATTACTGAATGAGCTGTAATGGTTCAGCGACGAGAATCAATATTGGCAAAATAATTTTCATGCTTCAGGTGAAGCACCCACATTCACTTAGCATGCCATCGAAATCATTATCCATAGCAAAAGGGACCAACAAGTATATACAACACAGAGTTGTTAGTCCATGCAGGGATAGGTTTTACACTACGCCTTCTTTGACACTGGCTGCAACTCACCGCAAGAATGCCTACAATGTATAGAATGGCAATAGCCAGTCCTGAAAGAAGTGCTTTATAAGTCCTATTTAGGATACAGCCAATTTCTTTTCCCTTCCTCAGTGAGGTGTACCGAATAATTTACTTTGTGCAATAGCTTCCGGCGACAAACTGTTTGTGCTTTGGTTTGCGGTCAGATGGGAACTGAGCTACTCATCATTTTCGCATGGTTTGGCACAGACAGCATGCACCACCTGCTCTCGAGATCCTATACCACAGACAAGGCACACACAATACCCGCGCTTCTCTTTGCACGGCAGCAGTGCCCACTGGTTCAGCGGTATTTGCACTGTATGCATGGTGGATAACCAACAACCAATCGTTTGTACAAAGATAGCTTGGGTCATTACCAGGTACCCCCATTGGGAATAGTGAGGAATCCGTGATAAGTGGATATTCATCTCCACGGGCAAGGTATATACACACACACCGCCTACACACTCAAAGGAGAAATGTACGACTCGGGTGAATGGCTGTGATAAAGCGAGCGTATAAACCGACAAAGAGTTGTGCAGAATGTGATGTACTGTAATTCGAAGCTAGCTGCTCTGTGAACGCTTGTCGCAACGCAATGGCAGGTGTGTGAAATGCCCCATTTCTGCATAGGGCAGCTGCTGGGATTACTGCCTCTTATACTCCCACCACTGCCCCTATTCTTCTCCATCTGCCTAAACTAACTTTGTTGTTTGGGGCTTGCCACAGAAATTCCCGTTTTTGTTGAATCAACTCCCACACACCCACATCAATGTCAACAATAATCCAGACTTCCTGTTAAAATGGAGGGGGGTATAGCATCCTACGTTCTGTGGTTTTGGGGCATGCCTGTTTTCACAAGACAATTTGCATGCATAATTGGATAGGGGATTCAAGCACAGGGTGATTTGTTCCAGCAAGGATATTGGATGTAATGCGATGAATTTGAAACAGAGTGGGTTACAAACTCGACCTGTACAGGATATCTCGGTAGACGACATTAGAGCCCAGTGTTGTGATTCTGGGTCACCGAACACTGCCTCTTTGTAACACCTGGTAAAATAGCCGCCGAGGGAACGAGCTTGCCGAACCCCAGAGAATGCAGGTGGGAGGATATGTTGTGGGGATCCGTTTCAAATCAGTCAACCTCGCACTAGTGTTCACTTTCGCCGATTGATTTCACCGCGAGCCGTTCACTGCCCGGGACCGCAACTTCTCGGCCGGTGTGTATGCTCTCAGGTACACCTGCTAATCCTCTAGTGGCAGGTTCAGTTTACAGATTGTTCCACTGTACATGCAGTGAGAACTGAAGTGGTGCATTACTCCGCTACAAAGTGTCGCATTCTTTTATTATAATGCAATCATCCACGGCTATTAGAGAGCGTGGGAATCAGTCTGTGGCGACACTTTGTGGAGTTAATTTTGAGACACGTCGGAATGCTATTTATGTCTTTGTTATGATTTTGGTTGTGAAGAGGGGTTGACAGGGGAGTAACTGCGGCACGTTCTAAAGAGCTTTGCAATTTCTTGAGTATTACAAGCTTCAATGATTTACATGAGAGTCAGTGAGTTCCTCTGTTAATCCGCTGGGTCCTTCGGAAGGAGGCAATTTGTGTTCTTGTTCCAGTTAAAAAGGTGCGGTAGTCGGGGGAGGCTGGGCAGGGCATGTCTGAGACATGTAGGGAACACAAAGAATTCTGTCTTGTGCAATTAACTTTGCCTAATTGATTAATTGCTGAGTGGTAGTTATTTCACTTTGCTATGTCAATGAATAGTGTGGAAGGATTCAGGAATTGCGAGGCTCATGTGAACTCTAAATTGCATTAGCTACCTTGTTACTATGCAACCTTAAGTAGAATTTTTGCTCTGTTTGCTTATATTAACCTCCCTCCCCCTTCCCGTTCTCCCACAGACGGATTCCAATCTGGAGGAAGACAATAAAATATGCAATCTCTACTAAAACGAGCTCCGGCGTGGTTTGCCCGCCGTGCGGGGAGTCAGGAATGCCTGCTGGACAGACCGAGCGAGCCGGTCTCCATCGTCCAACACAAAGTGGCACGGAGTGAGTTTGAGTACACTTCCTTGGAGATTAGACGGCTTCTCGAGGAGGGAAAGTTTCAGTTAGGGGTGGAAATGCTCCGCAAGCTGTCCCACGAATTTGTGCGTCGTTGCCTCAGGAGCTTCCCCTTCAAGACCCTCAACCGATGCGTCCCCAAGAGCTTTCCAGTGTGGGAGATGCTCCTGGTGAAATTACACAACAACGAGGAGGGGTGCATCCCTGATTTCCCCCACGTGCACTGCGATGAGCTGGTCTTACAGATCGGGCAGCTGTTGGAGGAGGTCGTAGACAGCCCCATGGAGAACGCGGACCTCATCCATGCCTGCAAACGAATGCTGAAGAAGGTTTACATGCAGTACAACAACGTGCTTCAGCCGCTCATCAAGGAAAGCGAGCGGATCGAGTGCGCACTCTACTCCCTCAGTCTCCACCTACCCATTGGGACCGACAGTGCTGCCGTGTCTCTCCACACGGCCATCAGGGACGAGATCGAGGCCTGCATCTTTGACTACCAGGAGACCCTGGAGAAAATCGCAGAGATCGAGGCGAAAGAGTCGCAGCTTCTCTCGCAGCTGTCGACCGTGACCCACCAGAACGGGACGATCCCCAACGACGAGACGCCTGTCATCGAATTCCACAGCCCCAACCCCACTCAGATTCAGCTTCAGGAGAGACTCTACTCTAATCAGTGGGTGAAACGGGCGCTCGAGCCCAACCAGCGCAAGGGAAACCTCGCGCAGCTCGTCGAGATGCTCAAGTCACGAATCGACAATGACAAGGAAGTCATCGCTCTGTACGGGAGCATACGTTCGAGGAACAAGTCCCTGTCCAACACGGAGGCAGTTGAGCCGTGGTTGAGGAAACACCAGCGAGCAGTGGGGTGCTGCCTCACGGTGCTCAAGGACATTGAGAAGGAGATAAAACTCCAGCGGCCATCGTCACCCACAGAGGCCGGGTTGGAGCTGAGTAGCTCGCTGGAGGATGCAGGCCCCGACCTACTCACTGTTCCCGTCCTCAACTTCAGGACCGACGAACACTTTGTCAACAGACCTCCGTTTGGGCGACGGGCATCAGCAGCCATCCCAGCCCTCTTCAACATTGGAGAGAAAGAGGCAGAGGAGGAGGACATGGACAAGATGGCGAGAAGAAACTCGGTCCCACCTCCCACCAAGCAGCACAGACCTCGCTCCACCTCCCCCATGAAGTTCCTGCGAGGTGCACACCCAGCTCTCCACCACGGTACCAACGGAGTCACCCAGAACGGTGCGGCAGCTGTCGGAGGCGGCATCACGGAGAACGGGAGCTGGAAGTCACTCTACTCGAGCCGTCGCAGTCTCAACGGGAGGGAGAACTCCTCCAGTATCCACGATCTCAACCAGGTGGGTGAACCGGCTCAGGCCTTCCGACGGGCTCAGTCTCTCAAGGCCAAGGGTCGCTACGTAGTGACCCCAGTCGCTCCTCCTCAGCCCCCTCACCTGACAGCCGGACGGAAAAAGACAGAAACCCACCGACAGAGCTCCTCGAATCTGGCCACAACCTCGTCGGCCGCCGGAGGAGACAGCAAATCCTCAAAGCTAAAGAACCTCTTTCGCAGTGGGTCTGGGGGACTGGTGACCAAATGTGATACACAGCAACAGGTTAGCAATGTGTTTTAATAGAAATTAGCACCACCGAGTGGAAGGTATAGGGGCACATGGTGAGCTGATACAATGGCCTTGAGCTATTGGGCACTAGGTCACGCTCAGGAGGTTACGTGCTGACTTGAATGGGTCTAGGAATGGAGGATGAGGAGAGGAGAGAAAGTGGAAGGCAACGAGCCTTGACAGCTACAATTGGTTTACCCAGAATTCTCCCAGTCCCACCTCCGTCCACACGGAGCCGCCAGCGTGTACATAGCCATTTCTCTCCCCCATCCCATCTTGGTTACTTAGCTACAATCATGCATGCCTTAATTCGCAGGTGCCTGTATCTCACTCCACTCACAATAGGCATATGTTCCCCGTGTCATTGTTGCACAAACTGCACTAATCTCTTTTGCTCCACTGTTGCATGCAGAGAGATGAAAAGGCGCCCGACTCTGAGCTAGCCCTGAAACTGGAGAGCATGAACAAGGAGCTGTTCAAGAGGGAGAGGAAAATCAATGAATTTGAGAGAAACATTAGGGAACTTACTGACAGGTCAGTTGTAGCAAGACTTTATATATCTGAATAAGGGACATTGAAAGTGTCCTATACTCAGAGGTGGTCCTTATTCGGAGGAAATAATACATATTAGTATGGGGCAGAACCATGGGATAGAGGTGTGTCCTTTTACTTGGAGGATTCTTTTTCGGAGGTTTCAATCACTGTGCCCAATTTCTCCTCGCCCCACCCAGGCTCTCTGAGCAGGCTCAGAGACAGCTGCAGGACAGCGAGATGTTTGAGGACATCCAGTGTGCCAGTCGAGCCACGGTCGTCATCCGGCGCTACGAGGAGCTGTACTCTCAGGCGAGGATTGAGGCACTGGACGCCATTGAGGCCCTGCATCTTCACGGCCCCCAGGACTCTACCGCAGACATGGACGCCAGCGACATGTTCAACGTCCGATTCCTGTTGGAAGTTTTCAAGGTATGGTGCACTACTGTTAGTATTACTGCATATTATGGTCAGTTTTGTCAGCTGGGCTTTTAGTGACAAAGACTTTAAATTGTGTGGGTGATAAATTATAGTTTTTAATTGTGTCAGGCTCCCCCTCCGCACACACCATAATTACTAAGGCACTAAGTTATTGTGTAGCAACTATTCTATTGAACCGCTACTTTGTGGTCTTAATTACTTTACTGGGAAAGCTCCTCCATTGAAAACCTAATCGAGCGATTGTCTCTCTCCACTCCTAGACGGCATACCATTGTTCATGGGTGTACCTGCAACAGCTGCACGGGCTCTGGAGAAAGCTGTTTGGAGTGCCCGCCGCAGCAACACCAGACAAGGAGCGCCAGGTGTCACTGGGGAGAGGGTCGAGTGCCGGGAGTGGAGAGGAGGGGGAGGGGGAGGAGGGAGAGAGTGGGGGCCAGGTGAGCAACCAGACGGCAGAGAAGCAGCTGGAGTCGGGAATCATGGTCTACCTCAGGAGAGTGTCTAGTCAGCAGGACTTGACACCAATCACAAAGGTGCAGGACCTTTTTTCGTGGGCGAAAAAAACGGTAGTTAAGCTCAGCATGCTGTCAGTGAATGTGTTTAATCTCACTTTCTATGCCTATCTGTAATATTAGGCTAACAAAGGCAAAACCCTCATACCGCCACACCTCTGAAGCTGACCTGTTTTATGCAAGTGTTTTTTTGCAATGTAGTTGCTGGTGTCTAAACTGGATGCCAAGTACTGTGACCACACCATGTACCCAGAGGTAAAGGGTCTCGCAGCAGTGGCAGACTACATGGAGGAATGTGTCAAGGTGGCGTGGGGTCTGATCATCCAGACTCCCCACATGACCATCGACTGGAGCAAAACTGTCTATAACCCAGAGCACCACAAGAGGTTCTACAGCGCAGACAAGAGACAGACTGACATTCTCATGTACATGTGGCCTGTCCTCACGCAGTTCAATGGCCCCGTTCTCGTGCAAGGCATCGTCCTCACTTGATTTTTTATCTCATCATTGTCCATATTTATAATTTCAGATTTTCATATTGTTAATTTCGTTCATCTTCAAACTTTGCGCGTTCCAATTCTGGCTCACACAAGTCTTCTCGCTAGCTCGCTAGCTCATAGCTACGTAGTAGCGCGCGTATAGAGCTCTGCTCCGCCGCGCACCGACCGCCGGCCGGCGCGCCGCGCGCAGATAATCTAGCTGTGCGCCGCGCGCAACGCGGGAAGTCGCGGCGGCCGGCCAGCTGCGAATTTGGCGCGACTTTCCCGCCAACTTCAAAAAACGCGATCGCCTCCTGGATCCTAAAGCATTTATAATACAAGCCGTAAAATCTGCACACGATGTTTTACTCTCACAACGTCCTCACGAAGAAGGGAGGCAGCCTTGGAATAGTCTGGTATGCCAATCATTTCATTACAGACTCTCAGCATCAATAGGATCTGGTCTGGTATAATAATTATATAGCCATGATGTGATATGATATGATGGATCACAGGATAGCAGCCAACTTTCAGCCTGGAGTCCATCACATCAGTCTCACCAGAAGAGAATACTGCAGTGTTAGCATCAGGAAGGCCTGGTGAGGACCACATCACACAGTCTTCTAAGAGTATCTCATTGACTGTGTGTGGTGTTGGTGCAGCGAGGAAGTGATGTCTCCCAGGAACCCAATGGCCCTGCGACTCAGTGCCAATCTCATGATGGGCATCGTGAGGATACACAGCAGCAGACACACTACATCTATGGTACGGAATGTGTGTCAATAAACAAGGGCTTATAGACAATAGGGCCCAGTGCAAGAATGCAATTAAGTTTCTGTTTGTAGTAACAGTTTCTAAATTTAGCACTTATATACTCTCGCATTCCCTTTAACTAGTGCAGTGATCTCTCTCTTGCTATGTTGCAGTTGACTCTAAGCAAGTGTGGCAGAGACTAAAGCATGCTTATGAAAAGAACAGACCGACAATTGACTTGCCAGTCGGCCACTTGAGGTCCAGCTCTACCACGCACACTAGTAGTGTACAGTTTGCCAGTCTGTCAGTACTACCACAGGCTTTATCTTATCCAGCTCCACTGAATTTAGCTCTACCACACTGCTATAGACTGTCTGTTGTCTCAACCAATGTTTACTGTGTCCAGGAGTGAGGCGGTGACTCTACCTGACCCCACGATGATTCTGGGCACCTCCTTCCTCGGCTGTGACTACTCCTTCTCCCTCGACTCTCTACTGGTGCAGTCACCTTTCTGACACCCCTCACACATCTGAACGTTTCTCTTCTCACAAATGCACAGGTGACTGATCTGTTCTCGGTGACCAGTGCTCTACAAACCCACACTCCTACTGCACGTCCTCTCAAGATAAGTCAAGGTGAACTATCTTCTCTTGCCACCAAACACGGCATAAACTGCAGAAAGTGGTTGGGTGTTTAGTATCTAAACTTGAGCGTGTGTATTTGTGTGGTTGTATGTAGGTAGTCCATTCACAGCAGACCCCAGGGATATTAGTATGGAGGAAGAGACTGAGGCTCCACTGGAGACTCGACAGATACAGGTACACATCTCTTCTTCCTGAATAGCAGTTACAGATTTCTCTTAATGTTTTATACAACATGATGGGATTCTGGCATTAAACTACACAAAATATTTGACTTCACACCCTCCAAGGTGCCTGGTGAGGGTGGTGACTTTGGTGACAGTGTGCAGGTGGAGGATGGGAGAGAGGGGCATGTGGTGATGATGGAAGATGCACCGATGCCCAGCCTCAACTCCAGCGACAGCATGAGGTTAAACTTGTCACTTGTCTACACATTTTTATGGTCTTGGAGTTGAAGGTAGTAATGAACAGGGTCTCCCCCTTTCTCATATGACTTCAGCATGTATGGAGGAATGGGAGATATGTCTTGTGACAGCGTGGGAAGAGGGGAGGAGGAGAGAGGGAAGGTGCTGGTAAAGGAAGAAGAGGAGGAGGAGGAGGACAGGGAGGGAGAGACTGACCGCGTCCTGCTGTTTGACGAACAGACTGACTCCTTCCAGCTGTACAACGAGGACCAACACAAAGTTGGTGGACTCACAGTCATAATGATTATTAGTCTCTATATGAATAATAGCAAACTCGTGTTAGTTCAGTTCTTCCATTTTACTTCATCACCAATCCCCATGTCTAGGCTCCCCAGAGGGATGAACAAGGAACACCAATTGTAAATCAACCAGTACACGGTGCTGGTAGTGGAGGTGACCCAGTGTCAGCAGGAGGAGGAGGAGGAGGAGGGGAGGGAGGGAGAGAGGGAGCCAGGGGGCGGAGGGTGAGGAGGAAACTTGCCTTCGACCAGCTCATCAAGACCAAGTCCACCGCCATCAAGGACAACATCAACTCTGTCCACACCACTCTCAGAGACAAGCACACTGTATGATACACACACACACACACATTTAGCTCCATTGGTTCATACCACGATCTGGTGATAGTTTGACTCCAACATAGTAACATTTCTTTGCCCGTATCCAACCTTCTATGACTTTTACATTTGCACCTGTCAAACCAACTGATGACTGACTCTGTTGTCGTATTACACTGATTTGTGTCCTCAGCTGTGTCATCCAGTGCCAGTCCGGGTGAAGCCTGCAGCTCTCCTGGACCGTCCAACATGCCACCTCTCTCTCAGGAACCCTCGACTCCTCTCTCTGTGGTACCGTCACCACACGCTACCCGAATTCAACAACAGACTTGAGTTTGAGCTAGGTAAGTATAATTATGCTTCACACACTCTTACTGTAGTACTCAATGAACAACCTTATCTTGAGTTAACTGTATAATGTGTTCTTTGCACAGGGCAACTTCAGCCCACTAGTTCAGCCCCAGTTCATCCAACGCCCTCGTCTTTCATCGCTCCTCCCTGACACAGAGGTACATACTAATAACGCCACCGAACCCCTCTCTGTCTCCCTGCCAGTTCACATGCACTGTGTTTGTGTGTCTGGTGTTGCAGATGGCCCGTGGAGGACGCAGCACCAGTCAGCTCTCCTCCAGCCCTGGAGGAGGCTCGGCAGTGGAGCTGGTGAGAGGAGGAGACGAGCAGACTCTCGACAGCCACCACACCACTGGGCTCACCGCCATATTCTCTGGTCAGAGACTCTTACTATACTATATATAACCTTCTTTTCTGTGCTCTGTACACCATGTGCGAGTGCATAAAGCACTTACAATGATGCATAGCTATATGCTGCAAAATTGTGCAGTGTGTATGAGATCGCATTCACCCACACACAGATGTGTCCAGTTTTGCCTCTGGGAAACACAGCTCAAATCTCGGGTTTGACACCAGCTCAGCACAGAGGTAAGTGTATATACACACCCCACATCATGTCTCAGCTGGACCAGCACGATCCCCACACAGACAGACATCGTCTGGAGGAGGAAACAGAGGCCCACTACCAGTCATGATGGAGGGACTGTCGCCCATTGCAGACAGGACCGAAGTCTCGTTTGACACACAGCACGGAGATCTCGAGTTCCCGGACCTAGACGTGTCGTACGGAAGCAGTGGAGCTCCTCAAGGCTACCACCAAGGAAACTGCCACGAGGCTCACTGCTCTCCCGTTCTTGAGAGTCGAACCTCTGGCTTACCTCAGGTGAGACTAGTGGCAGTGTCTTTTAATAGAGAAAGAGAGAAACAGAGAATAGGCAGGAAATCCCTTGAGCTGGCTTGTACATGCAAACTCTTGTATATACATAACTATATATTTTTTTGTGAACGCTAACTATGGCACCTGCATTTCCAGCTAGTTTTACAAGTTGTCCTTGATGTAGGAACTGATCAGCTATAGTTGTGTGTGTGTGTTGTTTGTTGCAGCCATGTTGCGAGCAGGATGGGAGGAAGACTGGAGGTTAGGTTTCAGGAGTTGCTGCCAGCCAACAGCTCACGCAAGACAGCCAGCAGAGCATTCTCACACATACTAGGTGAGGGGGCAGCATTAGCTGTAGCAGAGATTCAATTTCAGTCCAGAAGCTCCACGCAGGAAATGAGGCATGCGAAACAAAGTGGAACTCCACTCTTAAGGACACCCTTGAAACGAGCAAGCCTCTCTTATTACAGCTCTTGCATGCAGGACTCTTTCTTTTGCCCCATTGGTTCCACCCCATTGGTTCCAGAATTAAAAGTTCTCTCTCTTTTCTCTCTCCCTTCCCCCACCTCTAGAGTTGGTGACGTCACAAGCACTCAATGTCAGTCAAGACAAACCATACGGTACCATCACGCTCCACAGAGGACCACGTTTCTGAGACCACACAGCCCATACACACAAATATCAACTAAAAGCTGTCAAACAGCAGCAGTCATGATGATCCATGTATTATATCCTATCGTGATTCAGGAGTTCAATATAAACATTCCTAGGTCACTGATAGACCAGCCCGTCTCTGTCCACACACGATGAATACAGTTTAAACTCTTTCAACTCCTGCAGCACACAACATAACAAGCTAACCTACACAACTTTAAGAAGTTAGCTTACTGGACTAGTATTGACAATCTCTTCCACGCGGTGTCTGTCGTCTGGCGACTTTGCAATGGCGACTAGGAACCCACCACCCCCTGCTCCAGCTAGGCTACACCCTGCAGAAACGGCAGCTGTGTTGGACTGCAGATTGCAGGCCCAATGTGTTACAGTAATACTAGGGACTAAGGCTTGGTGGGAAAAATAATGCTCCATGTCCTTCACTTTACCGTGTATGTGGTTTTGGGCCTTTTTGATGAAGATTTGGACTGACTGTGGAAGGGAGCCTGAGAGGGAAACATAAGCATTAATCATATTATGAGTCAAGAGAAAGAATTGCCAGGAAGTGGGTGGTTTACCTGGAGCCATTACGACCTTCTGTTTCCCGTACTTGGTGAGGCAGTCGCCAATGACTGCCAGGTCACCTGGGAACAATAAACAGCCACTCTATGTGGTGCACAACGTCTGTGTGTGTGTGTGCGTGTCAACATTATCTCACACCATTTCTGATGGCATCTGCGGCTTTCTCGGCATTGGCCACCAGCTCTGTCATCGTCTGGATGATCCTGGCCTCCCTCGAGTGCCAGTTTCTTAGTACATCCTGCAAAATCACACACGGTTGAGTATATACTTAATGTGTGAATGAATTAAGTAGAAATCAAATGGAACACTTTACACACACCTTTAACACCAACACTTATTTTTGAAAGAAAATGCAGCGTGGGTATGTTTCACCTCTACCTCATGTGTCTGTATATACTTCATGCAGTTTCTATCATAGCTCTGACCTGGAGAGGTTTCTGGCAAGCCGTGTTCTCCCGGTGTAGATCAACATCAGGTGCTCATTCAGCTTTGCCAGAAACCCATCAGGAGTCTCTGAAGATGCAGAAGAATATCTACTGTCATACACCTATAACACAAGCCACTATTTTAGCGCTTCTAAGGTGGCATGGTTTCGCAGGTGAGAGATGCCTGGTTAATTGAAGTGCCTGTAGCTTAGAAGTCCGGAAAGTGAGGTTCTTTTTACAAAGGTTATTATGTACCTATTTCCTGAGTACTGATTTTGACGGGGAGTCCAATCTCAGATTTGGAGATCTTGGCCCCTCCGTACATACCCCCGCACTGGTCCTGCCAGCCTCCTCCCGTGGTCAACAACTGCTCCAGGTACAACACCTGGAGACAAGACTAGAACTAGAACTTGCAGAGTGTATAGCTATACGCTGCTATAAAAGAGTATGCTAAGTAGAAGACAGTATGCTTGAAGGTGGTGGAAAGTACGCTGCATTTATAGTGGAAAACTCAAGTTTAGGCCTACTTGAGTGAGAAGCATTTTGACATTGGAGAATCAGTGTTCTCTCTAAATTTTTTTGTTGACAGGGAATAGTTGGGCAAAACATTTTTCTAGGAACTCTTGTTTGCATCTTTCACCCTCAACAATGACAGCCACAATGTGCAGTATTAAAACAGTAATAAGTAATATAAAGACAGGAGACCCACTGCATGAATGAGGGAGTCTTTGGTGTGCTGTTGTCCAGTGGCTCTCCAGAGCGCAGCCATGATAGCTCCTCCCAGAATACTGCTGGTACCAAGCCCTGCAGGTTGGCCGCGTAGCTAAACTTTTGCAAGAAAACACGTTTCGCGAAGTTGGACGGTGAGGACGGCACGCAACAGGCAAGTTACTCGTAACAAAATTCTCTTAAAATTTTTGAAACTCGTGAAAGTATTTGTAATGGCTGACAAGCAATGATAGGCCATTTGAACAGAAGCTCACCTGATCCCTGGGGTATGTTTGAAATGGTCGTCAGCTCAAATCCACCTCCGTACTTGGAGAGCTGTTCTGCCAGGCTCTGACTGGACCGGACCTCCACCACTCCAGCACACACAAACGCTGCCTTCATCAGTGCACCTTGAAACAACAGGATGATGCCATACACTACACGGTAAAACCTCTGAAAATGGACCCTCCAAACAAAGGACACCTCTCAATAAAGGACACTTTGTTCTGGCATCATCAAACCACGGAATAATATGGGACACATCTAAATAAGGATGTTCCAAATGTGTCCAGTTGTGAACACATCACATGGAAAAATGCACTCATATATAGTACTTGAGGCTTAATTTTCCCCGAAAAAAAGTTCAAAATCAATAGAGGGACTTGGTGTACCAGGGGCATGGGGCTGTGAGTAATCGAGCATATGCGAGAGATCGGTCACTTCGATCCTCTCCACAACCTGCCCTTCACTGCCACACTGGACCAGCACCAACTTCAGACTGAGATATGAGGACAGAGGACGGAGGACGGAGAAGAGGAAGGAAAGATCACGAAAAGATCTGTGCTTACCCCTCAATCCGTGTCGCTGTGCACTTGATTGGTTTCTATAAAACAAATAGTTTCGTGCAAACTCCACATTATGCGTAATATAATATGACGCCAACCTCGTCATTGATCTTAATTGCCAGGGTGACCACAACTCCGCCCCACTCGTAGGCTTGAGGAGGTGTGTCAGTCCAACCTCCAGCAATATCGATTCGAGCTGCACGTGGGGAAATCGGTGTTCGATCATAAAAAATTCACGATCAAGGAACAAAAAACGTTCACACGTATTGCATGTTTCTTGTTACTTAATGATGATCCTTGTCAAAAGCAAACGCCTGAGAAAGGATTCTCTTCCTCAACAGACTGTATCCTTTGCCCACCTGGAGCAGTGACAGTGACAGGTTGGCCAATGGGCGGAGGCTCGGACTGAGTGCCAGAGATGAACTTTTTGGCCGTGGCCACACCCATCCTGGTGATGATGTGCCCCGCCCGCTCGTAGTGGCGCGATGCTCGTATGATCCGATCTGGTCCGCTGAGGAGAAAACCACACTTTAATCTCATACAACAGTGCAACAGTAAGGCGATCATTACATTATACTGGGGACACTTCAAATAAAGGACACATGAGAAGGCGAACAAATGCAAAGCAATACTGGCGAGCGATTACAAGTGCAAACTTTCGGCGATTTTGTGCATCACACTAGCGGATCATTACTTGTCAGTCCAGTTCTTTCTCTCGGCAGCCAGGGCGCGTGTTGCGGCAAGGTAGTCCTCTTTCTCCAGGAGGTTGAAGGCCATCCTCCATGCGATGTTGGCAGCGGGACCTCCCCTGATCCCCACCTCGCCTGCCATGTAGCCCAGTATGTCGGCAATGCAGGCGTACGTCCGGCAGATCACCAGGGGCTTGTCCAGTACTTCCTCAACCACTGAGGGGCAACAGTTGGGAGAGGAAGTGGGGAGGGAGAGAGGAGGTGGACTCCTTAATATTCAGTTGCATATTCTATTTATACAGCTTTTTGTCTTATTCCTGACAGTTTCCATACATTACTGTGTTGTTAGTCTCATCCACAATTTAAAAAAAGGGAGTCGCACCGTGATCGAGAGTTGCAAACAGGTCATGTTGTCTATTTTCCACCAGAGACTGTTTGAAGAACGAGAGGAAACAGACCAGCTCATTGTTCTTGAGAGCTGCCACCATCCGGTCCAGCTGCAGCTGAAACGCTATGTCCCTGCACAGACAGATCCAGCAATGAGACCGCTAACAGAACAGTCTACCATACAACCAGCAGCTTGGAAGTTGTGCAGCTAAGGGGTCTTGTCATCACAAAATAATTTGCACGTCTATGGAAACAGTGCAATGTACTATTTGGCCACTACAAAAGTGTTTGTTTGTTTGTGGTACCTGACCTTCCCTTCTTGAACTCAGCCTCGCTGTCCACACGTCTTAGAATGTCCATCAGAGACACCCTCCAGGCAGAACGCCACCTGAAAGACACACTCTCTTTCTCATTCACTCAACCCAGCTCAAGACTTAGCTAGCTGAAGACTTAGCCAGCTGGGAGCATTAGCTAGCTGACTGAAGACTTAGCCAGCAGAAGACTCAAACCAGCTGAAGATTTGAGCCATGTAGTTGAAGACTTGGCTCAACACAGCTGTAGACTGAGTGGACATGGGAGCACACCTGAGCAAGGTTTCCTCTGAGGGAGAGCCGATGGCCAGCCAGAGAATGTCTTCCGTGGTGGCCTCGGGGTGAGTGTGACTGGCCACGTAGAGCTTGGCTGTCAGCAGATTGTGGGGCTAGTGAGAATAATGGGAGGTACGTAAGGGGTAAAGAAGGAGGCAAGAAGGCAAAATATGAAACACCAATGAGTATAGAGGGGAAGAGAGAGGAAGAGAGGGACGTACAGTTGTGGGCCACAGTTCAGATGACTGTATTTTTGTCCTCTCGAAGAACTCACTCCACGGTCTATTGCAGAAGGTGGCACCCTCTGACCCCTCACTCGCCTGTCATCATCCATACACAACAGTATGAAACACTTGCACAAAATACTATGTCTGTGTGCTGGGCTAGTGAGTATATGTCCGTACGGTGAGAAGGTCGTTGATTCCGTAGACCACGCCCACGTCCAAGTGGAAGCATTTCTGAGCCGTTCCCATGGTAACCCTGATCTCCTGCAGGGCGATGCCGTCTGGTACGGAGAGTACGGGAGAGAGGTCCGCAGCCTGGGAGGAGATTAGCAGTAGATGAAGGGGCACACCAACCTATCTATCATTACCTGCAGCTCCAGTAGTGTGTTGGTCACTCCAGACAGGAAACAGTTGGCCCCAATGACTATTGGATGCTAAATAAAACAACCGGCGATGTGTATCGGTTAACTTCGATCGTACAACTAATAACATGACAAAATACTCCGTGAAAAAATGTGGTTTTAGCGTGCCACGTTCAAGGGCAGACAGAATCTGCAAGTTGCTTTTCGGCAATTCGCGATAGTTCAGTCATACGATATCTGAGAGGTGTCACTAAACTCCCCACCTGAATGTTGCAGTTGATGAGTACGGAGCCGTCTCCAATGGTGGCCTCGGACTGTACCCTGGAGTTGATGACACAGTGCTTCTCCTGTGGAATAACATGCACAACTCAGCATTACCAAAGGAAGTTCGTGCTATATTATACAAACACATGGTTTGCATCACTCTATATACCTCGTGAGACTGTAAGTATCTGTTGCAGACGTCAGCAGCAACATGTCTGAGGTAGTCGTGCTGTACTCCGACCAAATGCACTATAATCACACAACACAACACAGTAGAAACCCGAGGCAGCTGTATTTACTCACCCACCTGCCCTCATCTTGGTGCCAGAGAAGGTGTTCCAGAGGTGTGTCCTGGCTCTCCTCATGATGGCTGACGACTGCTGAGCTGGGCCTGCTCTGGATTGACCAGATACAAACTCTTCTTCCTCAATGTCGGCCGTCATACACAGCAGGATGTCAAAGAATAGAGACAGCTGCAGAAAGAGAGAGGTTTTACTAATTCCACTATCAAGTATATACCTCATATATACTAGTCCACAGTCTTTTAGTACAGTGGCATAGTAACAGTGGGCTTTGCAAAAAATGCCATCCACTTAATGCACTTGGCTTGGTTCTTGCCCAACCCCGTCATGCAATCAGGCAGTGAAGAGATGTTGATTATGAAACCATGAGAGAGGAGGGAGGAGGCTCACTGAGAGAGGCTGCGCTCCATTGTCCAGGCCAAAGTAAGTGCAGGCATCCAGCGGAGGAACAGTGTGGATGTACACCATGCTCTTGGCTACACTGGGACCAACATAGACTATACCTGCCAACTGTATTAGAGAGGGTCAGAATGTAGCACAGGTGTGAAAGAGAGGGAGTGAGGGAAGAAAAGAGAGGGAGGGAGGAGAGAGAGAGAGAGAGAGGAGGGAGACGAAGGTAAAGAGTGAGTGTGAGCAAAGCGCAGAACTGTACCATGTCACAGGTGCCGTCTGCCTTGGTCCAAGATTTGATGACTTCCTCTGAGGCCATGTGAAGTATTCGAGATACTTCCCCCTGTCAGCAATACATAATAATGTAGACTTGATGGATAAACTTTACTCACACTTTCGCTGATCTTGCAAGCCCCGTGTTTCATGGCGTACTGAGGTGTGGTCTTCACAGTCAGGGCACACACACAGTCCTTCATATCTGACATATCCAGTGGTTCTATGGGTATATATACACCATACATTGTATGTGGTTAGATAATACCTAATGTTTTTTAGTGAAATGGAGAGGGACATACTCACTGATGGGGTGTGGATGGTGGAGAATCATGTCAGTACTAGCAATCCACAGCCCCGGAGGAGAATTTTCACTCAACTGTGATAGCAGGGAGAGGGGACGGAGGTGAGGTGTTTCAGCTCGTTTCTCTACCTTCATCATGTTTTCCATCAGGCGGTCAATGTTCATGGTGACCTCGGCGTCCAGTTGCTGATTGTCTCCAGTTCCCTCAGAGGAGGGGGAGGAAGATGCCTTGTCTGGAGCCGGCATGAAGGCGTGGCCACACGGACTGAAAGGGAACGTTGCGCCCTGGAGGGGGAGCGGGGGGGCACAGTTTTCCCACATGGCGATAAGGGAGAAGGAATTTTTATGGTGCAAGCTGATGATGCTTGTGCCTCCAGCATGCAAAGAGTCGGGCTTGTCACAAAATTTGTAAGTACAAGCTCCTCTGTGCTTTTGGCTACTCTAGTTTCGTAAAACTCTTGCAGAGGCTATACGTACCAGGAGAAGGATGAGAATCCTGGCATTGTAGAGAACCTCCGCTGTCACAACCTGCATGCATCGGCCAAAAAGAGCTCCGCTGGCTGCGCGCACAGCAACACTGACGAACCTTGTGTCCCCCGCGAGCGGCCAGATACTCCGTGACGGAGATGAGAGCGTTCAGCGTGGCGCTCCCGCTACCGATGTTGGGCTTGGGGTCATCCACGGCCATGATGACGGCTCCGGAACAGATGATCCCCTTCTTCTGACGGATCTGTAGCTCTGAGCGCCGGCAGAGAGGGAGAGCTAGATACTTACATGAGCCTAAGAATTTACCTTTACGAAAGGCATTAGCACTCTCCCTGTTCTGACACGTACAAACGATCGCCGTCCAACGCGCTCCTTCCATCTTCTGTGCACAGTTAGCTAGCTAGAGCTAGAGAAAGAGCTAGCTAGCTAGCTCGCTAAGATGATATGATCTAGCTAGCTAGCTAACTGCGCATGCTCTCCGCGCCCGACATGGTTTATGGGCGCATGCGTCGTAAAGTGCCGATCGCGGGAAATTTTTTCTGCACCGAGAGTCGTCTGGATATAATAAAAATACAAGGTGAGATATCTACAAAGAGTTAAAAAAAACACATGTATGTTGTCGGCAGTGAGGCATTGATAAGTATCACAACAAAGTGATCTGATTATTACAACTACTTTACAAGGCGTACAGCAATGCTGCCTTCAAAAAATAACACAAATAAATACACACATTCATTCACACGACAGTATATATACACTGTACTACTTGTTCAAGAAATCAATGACAGCTTTCGCAACCTTCCCGCTAGTGTGGTCCATGGCCTCGCACTTGATCTCAGTGTCCCCAAAGTGCATGGTTGCCTCCAGCTCCCTGTTCTTACCGCCTGTCGTGTCGGGCATCTCTAAATAGAGCTCACCGCACCGCCTCACTCCCGGGTCAGAGGTGAATAGGACGTGCTCCTTCTCGCTGCAGTAGATCCCGATGACCGTTGACGTCTGGTAGGACTTGGCTGGGGTGTACGTCCGGGAAACCTTCTCCCCGAGGGCTATGGACTGATCGGAGGTGACAAACGTGTCAAAAACATCTGTGCACCACTCCGTTCCGTCCTTCTTGATCCTCTTCTCCTCGGGGTGTTTCCCGGGAACAAACTTGTTGAGGACACCCACGCCGTAGGTGAGCGCCGAGCGCCTCACACGCACGACGGTCGGATCGAGTCCAAACATCACCGCTCCCTTGAGGATGGTGAGTCCGCAGTCCTGCGGGATTATGACTCTCAGTAGTGACGAAAAGGCCTTCCGTATCTCGTTCTGCAGCAGTGGAGACTCTGCAAACCCGCCCACCAGGAACATAAACTTGACCAGATCCAGCTCCGGTTTTCTCAGCAGCTCTGAGACGTGCCGGACAATGTCCTTCATGACGGGCTCAAAGAGAGCGTGCATCGCCGAGGGGGACAGTCGTAGCATTCCCTGCGAAGACCACTTGATGTCCTTGTTCCCGAATCGCTTGATGGCCATCTCAACGCTCTGGCCCTTCAGCCGGCTGTAGTGCTCGATGAAGGAGAAAGGGAGGGAGATGTTGAGCGGTGTGGACTTGTTCGGACTGGCTGTTCTCTTCTTGGCTTCAAAGGCAATCATCAGATCGACCCATCCGGCCGGCTTCGTATTCTTGAAACTCACTACAAAGTCGATCCCGAATATCTTGACCAGGAGGTGTTCGAATTCAGTGTCTACCCCAATAGCTCCCCACGCACCGCCCGAGGCCTTGTACAGCTCCTTGAGTGTGCCGTGGTCCTCCATCTCGTGGACAGTGAGGTCCACCGTCCCTCCGCCACAGTCTACCACCACGTACCTCGTCCCCGGCTTGAATTCGTTTGCGACGGGGCCAGTGTGCGATAGAGACGAGCCCCGCTTGAGGCTGTTGGTGCGGTAGTTGTTCGGCGAGCCCAGGAGCCCATCGTCAGGGACCACTTCTCTCTGCTTCAGTTTGCGGCAGTAGATCGATGCGGCTTCGGGCTCCAGAGCTATCAGCAGTTGGGCTGGGTTCATGGGAGACGCCAACCCAGCCTGATAGACAGAGAGAGAAGTGACATTTGCACAAGTTTAACAACAAGAACCCCTCTCCAAGAAAACACTTCTCTGAAAGACCTTTTCTTTAATTCTTGCATGCAATTATGGACACCTCACTAATATGGACACTTCTTTATTCCTATTGTTGTCTGGAAAAAGGGGTTCCACTAAAAATTACCCCCACGCTGGTGGGATGCAAAGTGTTGTTACCAGACAAACCTTGTATGCAGCTTGTCTCATGAACTGTTTTGCCGGCTGCCTCCAAATGGCGGGCACAGTAATGACCCACCGGATGTCGTCGTTGGCAATTCGTGTGGAAGACTGGTCGGAGAGCTCCTGGAGACAGTGGTCCTTGAAGAAACGGAGAGCATGCGCAAACACCTCTATTGCTCTCAGCTTCTTCCCGTTGGCTGCCTGGATCTCTAGACCCATGTGTAGATCCTGCAGGGGGGATACAGAAATAGAGAGAGGAGGGGGTGGAGGAAGAAAGGGAGGGAGGGAGGAAGGAAGGGAGGGAGGGAGGGCAGGCATGACAAAACAAGAACTTTGTTTTCAGCAGCAGGGACAGATTTGAGGGAGGGGAGAAGCGAAACGTGACACCGGGCCATCAAACAGCTCACTCACTCACTGCTAGGTGCCACACAAGCAGTAGGTATATAGCTGCGAGTCAGTCAGTCAGCACAGCCGGGTGGCCTTAAGTGCCCAAGTTAGCACACACCTCTGTATTTAACTCCCCAGTGTGTGGCCAGTGGCTCACACTCAACAAAACTATCGCTTACCACCGGTTGCAGTGTCAGTGACTGCCTACCTCTCCTCCCCCGAGTGGACACGTGTTTGAATAAGGTGCAGCCCCCCCCTCCAACAACACATCAAGCCAATTTAGAGTCCCAAGCTTCCCAAGAGAAGCAATTTCGCATACTTTGGAAATGAAATAAGTTGCAGTTAATACGGGGAAGAACGACATTGACAAGGCCTTTTATCTCGGGTGGGCCTTCCAGTTAGCTGCATACAATGCATTCCAGCCACACACACCACACAAATTATAATATATCAATTTTTCCCAGTACATGTACATATATGTAAGGCACTCAACAAAACATATTCCTGACTGATTATGTCACGTTGTGCAAACTCTCCCACAGCTGCCCAAACAGTGTGAGCGTTTCCTCTACACCGCTTCAGGCAACGGTTTCATGCTGTGTTTGCCACAGACAACTCGGTAGTCCACAGCTTACACAGGGACGGGGGAGCAATGATGCTTGCTGGCAAATTGAATTTCTCGGGCATCAAGTGTCACGAGAAAAACAGAGTGTTTCGAGTGAGTGCCCCTCCTGTAAGGCACACGTTTCCCATAACCCTGCTGTATGCATGATACATCTGCCCTGTGCTAACGTGTATACATACATATCTGCTTACAAAACTCAAGTAGATGCTAGACACATTGCACAGCCAGGTGCTACCTAGCGTATGTTCCATGTGTGGCTGGCTATAGACTTACACTGTGACGCAGAGGCAGAATAATGCGCTCGGCAACTAATCCAGGTTGTATTCTCGCGATATATGTACGTACGTGTCGGTCACACTTAAGAATGTCAATTAGTCACGCTTAGGAATGTAACTTCCGTCAGTCGTAGGAAGTCTAGCTTCCGCCGTGCGCACAGATTCGTAGGAAGTCTGGCTTCGTGCGCAGTCAGTAGAGCGCGCGCACGAGCGGCCTCAGTCGGACTGTTTACGCATTGGCTGGCAGGCAGGCGCGAGGCAAAATATGCACGTGCGCATTCCTAGTGTATATATATATATACTGTATCTGGAGGGACTTCAGCACAGAGATTGAGTGGGCAACACACTCCCCCATTCTGTGCACAATGAGGCATTACTGGAAGGTCAGCCACTCAATTACCAGCGTGTGTCTCCAATTGGTTCATACCACGTATCTCACGCACTGTATATACGTGCAGAAAAACAAACTTTAAAATTACATTATCCCATGGCATACAGTGACTGCAGTCAACACTGTGTGCAGAGGAATTTTTATATAATTATACCACACAAAGATTATTGAGACAGGTCGCTTGGGACTCAATGGGTAATATTATTATTATACGACTAAAGATTCCAACACTTTTTCTGAACTAGAATTAGGTGTTTCTTGTATATATACCTTGTGCAGTGAACTAAACCAAAGATCGGACGTACAATTATTCGTTTACATGAAACATTGTGTTTCAATCATCGTCAGAGGCTGTTGATATTACGGGACTGATGCTCTCCGGAGCAACGAGCATTCCTCTTGTAACGGTAACTGTTTTTTTGGGCGATAAGAGACTTAGTGTCTGTCAATTAATGCCCCGTGGAATGCTAGGAATTACAGGTACACGTTGTAATTTAATAGAGCGCATACTACAGCAGCATTGGACATCGGTTGATATTCTAGACATGTGTGCGCCATTTGTGAAACAAACAAGGAGGGAATGACTCGCGTGGTCTGCGCCATTTGTGAAACAAACGAGGAGGGAATGACTCGCGTGGTCTACAGTACAACAGTGCACATCCAGCATCTCATGTGGACTGCAGTGGACAAGCACGGACGGTATTATACTTAGATTTTTCTCTAGCCTGTGTCAGTGTGGTGATGGTTCACAAGAAAACAAGTAAACAGTGCACTCGAAACGGTGCGACGTCATAGAAGGCCATTCTTCAAATAAACCACTTTCTCAATTAATTTTATGAAAGTTAAGTGCTGGGGGACTGCACAAAATAATAATATTTAGCACAGGCACTTTTGTAATGTATACATTGCCCACCCCTATACCACTGACGTAACACCTAGTTAGTGGTGGGACATGCCACGAGGAGGTGCGGTTGTAGAGTGCACAAGTACACATTAGTAGAGGCAGCTCGGTTCACACGCAACTTATCACAGGTGTCCATGGAAACGCAATCCAAACACAAGGAAGGTCGTTAATCGGGGTGGCTAGGGAGCAGCCAGATTGTCTGCTGGTACAAAATAGTCACCAGAGGGTGGTCCTCTCCTCCCAAACTGACAGCTGCTGACACTACATTTCCACAGACACGATTACTCGGCCTCCGTGTGGCCAATTAGCATGCTCTACATATATACCTATATGACTGTGTTCACGCCAACTGTGTACATTTCCCCCTCCCCCGGGTCCTATATAACACACACAGGCAAGCTACAAATATGGCCACCACAGATAGATCAACTAAAAACTGTCAGTCCCACCACCTTGGTCTACATATTGAGCCGTTCTAAGAGCCTTGGTCTACATTCTAAGAGTCGCCATACCTTAACTCCGTATTTTCCTCGGTAGCGTTTCCTTTTCGGGCATCCGCTAACAAGAACGTGTAAGCCGTAGCACCCGTAGCACCTTGCGAAATCGTCACGTGTTTGCCCTATCTATCTACATAGTTCCTGGTAGGTAACTAGTGCATTATATTACACACTACAACTCATTGCAAGCTCACATGACATGCACTGTGTGTGTTCGCTAAGTGTGTGTGTGTGTGTGTGTGTGTGTGTGTGGGCATCTAATATTCAGATGATTCCGGCAATACTGTATGACTAATTCCAGGAGTCCTAGGAATTGAATTGCTATAAGGATATGGCATTCGTTTCCCATTGATCAAAGTACACACAGGTGTGCGGGAGCTAGACAGAGCGGTGTACGTGGGGTCAAAGCATGTGTGAACACTCGGGCGTATCTCCCGGGGCAAATCCAGCCACTAGTGAGGTCATAGAGGCTCTACACATTACTGAGGGTTGCTTACACTTTCACTGCTTATGCCCACGTTTATTGCGCCGCTGAAATACAATCTTGTTTGCAATTTCCTTACAGTGCATGGGATTTCCTAACAAGATTATGGGAAAAGTGCAATCGAAAGTGGACTGTGTGGGCATGCGGCATTTGTCCTCTGAATACGCTCAGTGACGATTGGCAGGCCCTGGGCTAATTGGGGTTAACGCATGTCTTCATTACATCACACGAGACACTTGGGTCTGCAGCATTGTGCGGGGGGAGAGGGAGAGGGGGAAGTTATGGAGAGAAAAGTAGAGAGAGAGGAGAGAGAGAGAGCGCAAGACGCAGGGAAGAAAGAAGTGAGAGAGAGAGCAGAAGCTGAAGAGGGGAGAAAGAGAGCAAATCAACATCAAATTCCTGTACGTGAGAAATCACAACAGAACGGGGGAAAGGCAGGCAAACCATGCACATAGCCAGACCTAGCTATGCCGTCTATATACTCCCATGATATGAAAGGAATCTCAGGGGGAAATGTATTTTAAGGCTATGTTTGTAGCTCATGATAAGGGTACAGAGTTTATAATCTGGCTATCAAAACAGTTGGACAATGGTATATACCAGGGGGCTAAGGTCTACTCGTGATTAGCTACGTGATTGACGACGGGAGAAACACGCAGAGGAAATATGGATTTCTCTGGAGCGGCCATCCCACCAACAAGCGGCAATCTGTTGTGCACGCACTGCAAATGGACTGACCACTGAAGAGTTATTCGGGTGGGTTGGAACCGAAAAATTCTGTCAATAATGCCTCGAGCTACCTCCCCCTCCCGCAACCACTGACCACAGAGACTCCATGTGTCAGGTACTGTGGGAAATCATGTTTCCATCTGAAAAAGCATTAAAAGAAGACGGAGACACTCCAAATGCTTTGATAGGCCTGACCAAGATAACCTGCATGGAAGCGATCTAGAACTAACAGGAACAAGAAGGTTGGCAAGAGAATGTAGAAAAAAGTGACAATAGCAAAGACAAAAAGCACAAACAAAAATCGGTACGATGAGAAGGTCTGTTGAGGCAGAAAAGAGGTTGAGATGTGAAATCATATGGTTGATCTGTTGTTTTCCACCAAAACCAAGAGACACCCACAGACAAGAACTGACAGCATACTTTTCACAATTCACACAAATTTACTGTGTCCATATATGCTGCACCAATCCGGATACAGCATACTGTAGCTAGTCCAGTTGTCAGCTCAGCAAACACCCTTCCTCTCCCTTCATCCCTTCGTCACTGATTGAATTAACCCGTAACAAGTTCCCCCACTCTGAACCCCAAGAGCATATCTGGTTACGTACTCCTGAATGTATACACCCAATGCTGTACGAAATTAGCAAAGGACCACAAGCGGCCACACAGAATATCAAAGGCCCTTTTATCTCTCAGCATTAGGTCACGGGCTGTAACTGTTCGACTGAAGAAACGGTTGGTGCCACACGCAACACCACACACGCACACGTAGGACGATCTCGTTTAGACCACAGCTAATGCAGGATCAAAGGCACTGTATTACGCATAAATTACACTGAATTAACGATGCTTTGGGATGTTACCCACAGAGGTTGCAATACGTGTTAATCACCTTGGAAAATTATTCGGGCTAAGTAAGCGGAGGGTTGGCTTGTAATTAGAGTGGTGAATTTGATCCATTAGCAGAGCAGTCCTCCTCCTTTCCACCCCGTCTCTCGGTCTCTGCCTCACACACACACACACTAATGGGTTCACCCGCTTGTGTGGCGCCCAGCTCTACTCTGTCACCGACCACTTATGCCCAGCCAACACTGGAGCCTTTTTACATCTGGGTGCACATGACGTTTGGAATAGGTCACACTATCTGTATCAGAGGACCCTGATATGGGGCTGAGCCTGCATGCACTCCAGGTCCACTCCTGTAGTTTGACACACTTTCACGGGCACATAAATTAATCTTAATCCTCATGCACGTGTTTGTTAACATGTACCATGTATTAGAACCTTTGCCACCAACATGGAAAATTATCCTCTAGTTACACTTTCAGGTCCACCATTGTCTGGTTGAATGAAAGTTTGAAATGCGCAGATTCCACCGGCAGGGATATTGGCATAACAGAGCATAGCGCTCCGGATGCACGCATGTATGTGAGACATGCACTGGTTAATTACACTGCATGCATCTCAATTACGGCCTATGATGGGAACGTACAAAATTGGAAAAGGAGGGAGTAAGAATAGGGAGGATTACAGTTCAGTAACCTCGCCCCTCGCGTGGGATCTTCACTGTCGGATATTATATTAGACTTCCACCACTGTTCATGGACTGTTGACGCTGTGATGTAATGTCTAGACATGCAGAGTTTAGACTGGGGTTAAGGTGCACCCAGAATTGACAGAGACGAGAATCAAGTAACAAAATTACTGAGATTCATCACTGTGTGGGGCATTCCCAAGCAATGCTTTTTAAAATAGAGAACTAGCTCAAATGGTTCAAATTACTGGGACCACAAAGGAATAGAGAGAGGGTGCTAGTGGCACAAATCAAATGTAGCTGTGAAGAAACTGATACGACATGCCCAGCAGACCACAAGTGAATATGCAGACTTACAAGAAATTAATGCCGCATGTACTCATTTCCCTCTCCTCTAGCCACCCACTGAAAGGGTATACTTTTCACTCACACAGACACTCATTCCTATATAACATGTGGGCACACATGTCCTGGAGTACTGCTGCACTCTCTTCTAATGAGCATTTCTAGTAATGGTAGGGGTCACATAGATAGGCTTGTTTTCTACAAGTTCTAATCTAATTGGGATTCCAGGGCAAGTCAGCCATAACAATAACTGTTACAACAACAGTTTCTAGGAGGGATCCCATCCCAAACAGTAATACGAGAGCTCCTCGGCCTGCTGGACACTCTCACAAAATTACATTTTAGTTGTATGAGGATTCATGTTAATGATGTTGGAGGTAAAGCATCTGTAGAGATGAGGGCAGTGCGGCATGAATATAGATACTGGTGGGTTTTGGCGCTGATATATAAAACAGACATTTCGTCTTTATATTGCATCCAAAAGGACCCTAAAAAGCAATTATTACAACTGCCGAAAACCTGCTGTGCACTTGTAAGGTAGGTAGGTAGACCTAGCTGCGCTGCAGTTCACTTACGTGGCTGGAGTGTAGACTCATCTTGAACTTCTCGAAGTAGTACCATCTCTTTGCCTCCACCTCCTCCAGGTCGTGATAGTGGTCCCTCGCCCCGAACCCGAACGAATGGAACTCTCCGTTGGGGCGCAGAAGGAGCGTGGTGGGTGTTTTCTGGTTGCTCACGCCAGGGTCGCCTCCCTCCCACTTTCTCATCATGTGGATGCTGTCTGAGTCGCGCACGAAGGAGAAGGCGTAGCCGCTGTATGTTGTCCCGAAGTCGATTGCGGCCACGATGTAGTGTTTTTCCTCGGACGACGAGGCCGACGACTTGACGCAACTGCCGTTGGACGGAGCGACTGTCGGAGGAGCGGCGTGTCCGTTCATCACCGCGCCGCCGACGAAACCGTTCTGGTGGTGCGTCATTTAGTCTCAAACCCTAAAGCTGCTTGGATATCTCCACAGCCACAGCGTCGTTGTACGGCACACTCCCCTTAGTTTTCCACACCCGAACTACTAAACAGACGATCATCCCACGCACGTACGCGCGCAGAACGGAGGGGCTGTGGATTAACGCGCATGCGCGTAGGACCCGCGCCCCGCCGCCGTCCGGTCGCGGTCACATCCATCCGGCGGCATGCATGGCGCGTCGTGTGTGTGTGTGTGCACTTTTGTAGTGCAAGCATACCTTGATACGCATGGTGCACACAAAACTAAGTATATCTAGAAAGAAAGTTTAGCTATCTAGTAATCCAAGGCAAGCATACCGAAACCCTATATAGTTAGCCACGTAACCTACAAAAGTTCAAAGTGTGGGAGTGGCAGAAGAAGTTCACGAAGAACATAATACCATGGCTACCTCGCACAGACGCTTCAGATCACTATCCGACACACTGACGAAAAACCCTCGTTCAATCGGAAAGATGTTTCGCCGAAAGTCTAAGTCGTCGCTAAAAGAGGAGGACGGGACGCTAACAACCCATGCACCTACTACCTCCACAGCGATCGACAGCTACTCGACCAACGGGAAAACTAAATCACCAAAGAAAGTACTGTCTCCTTCGCGAAGCGGGAAGCTAAAAGAGCGTCACAAGAAGGAAGCGTCCATGTCCAATGCAGTGAGCGGGAACTTGCAGGATAACTCGCGCCGCATCGTTGTCGCCATTGACTTCGGAACGACGTACAGTGGCTACGCGTACGCCTTTCGACGCAAACCGGACGAAATCCACCTGATGCGCCGAAAAGAAGCCGGTCAAGTCGGCGGTCCTTCGCACAAGATCCCGACGATCCTGTTGATGGACGAGCGGGAGCAGTTCCATGCGTTCGGCTACGATGCGCGCGATGCGTACCACGACATGACGGAGGAAGAATCACAAAAATGGCTCTACTTCGAGAAATTCAAGATGGAATTACACTCGAGAAAGGTTGGGGGTTTTAGTGCATGGCTTTGTTTGTTTTGCTATTACAAATGGTCACTTTAGCGTTTTTTGGCGTGGTCGCTAGCCTGTTGCACTATATAGCAGACTCGTAATGTGTGGCCGTTTTCGCTACAGGCATCTAGTGGGAGTAGCTGCTGGAGTATATAGAAGTGGCAAATTGTGCTTTGTGTAAACTCAGCAACTTGACTATGCCAACAGACATTTGCCAACCAAAGTGAATATTTTTCAAGCCTCCAGAGAGAAAGCTATATCCCATTTTGATAAACCAAAGCAGTGCACAAGATATATATATATATATAGGTGTCTATTAGACTAAACTTCACAGCTCGGTACACCATTGATGTTCCAATCACTCTATATAATAATATACGTAGTTTATAATTTTTCCTCCCTGGCCCACACCATGAATAGGAGTTGCACCAGAGCATGGAGTTGGAGGCAACCAACGGCCGGAGAGTGAGAGCGACTGTGGTGTTCTCACACGCCCTCAGGTTCTTCCGTGACACTTGTCTCAGGGAGCTGACTGACATGGCCATCGCCGACCACCCCATCAGCATGGTCGACATTCAGTGGGTCATCACCGTCCCCGCCATTTGGAGGCAGTCGGCCAAACAATTCATGAGACATGCGGCTAACGAGGTACGAATGATACAGATTAGTCACACATGTGGCCACACACACATACACACATTGTACACACATGATGGACGCACAAACATTTGAACCTACTCTCATACACCAAAGACCCCACACACACTCATGTCGAGGGAGTGTAAGGAGCCACACAAAACTGCGCACTATAGCTCCTCCATCATGTGTGGCATGAATACTAGCATGAGTTACTATAAGGGAAGGGGAGTTTGCCTGGGAAAAATGTGTCAAGATTCTGTGCTCCGTGCTTTCGCTTATGAAAACAAGTGCGTACACGACCAGACATTGCATTGACAGCTACCCCAGCATGGGACTGCTACCCACAAGAGGCGCAAGATCTGGGTATACATGTTCAGTAGTATGCATCTGGGAATTAATGGGTTTAGGGTGGTAAGTCTAATAATTTGCAGGAAGTGCACCAGCCTACACTTGCACTGTTCCAGATAAAGGTGAGAGTGGAAGGGAAGTGTGTGGGAGATTGTTTCAGCAAGAATAGTTACACACACATAAATAGCAGAACTTAATACCTGATGTAATGTTGACAAGACTGTACATCTATAGAACTGGTTTGTGTGCCCAGTGAGGTGGAACAGACTGCACACTCGTGCAACACCCAATTCACATCTAATGAATATATACGTCAAAAACATATGACTCTGCAAACACGTACCAAACAGTTTAACAAAAAGTAATGTGTGGCTGAGACACATTTCCAGAGTAACAAACAGTTTGAAATCCTGTCAGATGTCTAATGTGTGGCTGAGACAGATCATAAGGTCTTGCAGAGGCAATGAGCCCTATCGACCATGTACACATTACGCTCCAAATACGTAATGAGGTTCGCATTACACATCATTCGTATGGAGCCATGCTGTCCGCTTGACCCAATTATGGCAACAAGTACACTTTCCTTGGATTCCTATTCAGTCCACAGGGACTATCTGGCGCTACATCAGTACAGATTAGTCCCAGACAGATCATTATTGCATACTATTGGGGGTAGAGCTTGTATCGCACCATTTCAGGCTACATATCTGTGCACTAGTCATACATGGCTGTGTACATGCTCCACTGGGCTGCAGTGGATACTCAATGTTGAATTTGTCTGTATTCAGGCTGGATTGATCACCCCGTCCACCACCAAGCAACTCATCATAGCCCTCGAGCCGGAGGCAGCCTCCATCTACTGTCGCAAGCTGCGGATGAGAGAGTGCATCCCCGACACTGTCCCGGCTCTGTCTGTCTCTCCGTCTCCTTCGCCCTCCACCGGAGCCCCGAAATACACACTCGCTGGGAGCCACAGTACCAGCAAGTCAAGTCTGAGTCCCTCCACTGAAGGTGTGTGTGCTGGCTATACATACATACATAGTCTTGCTATGCATTATGAGAGAGATGAGAGAGAGAGAGAGAGTTTGTGTGTGGCTGAATGTGAGAAACGTCTAGACTCTCGAGAATTCCTCAGCTGCTACTTCATGTAGTCGAACACGGTACAATCATGAAATATAATAACCTGCAGTCTGTCTACCCCATACTGTCCTCGCCAGTCATGTGAGGCATGCATGGCATTATATCAGTTGATATTGCATTATGTATATAGTACATATCAGTTTTTAACAACCCTCACATGCACGTGCACACACACACACACACAGCAGGTGCCTGCATATCATCTCAGCCCACGTACAACGGTCCTCGGGAGAAGATTTCTCCAACACACCACGCGCTCACCAGCTCTGCCATCCTCAGCCAGCCAATGTGTCCCGGTGCCTTTGCGGCCGACTTCAGTTTCGGGATGCGGTACCTAGTGGCGGACTGCGGCGGCGGTACCGTGGATCTAACAGTCCACGAACTGGACGAGGGAGGGAAGCTGAAGGAGCTGTACAAGGCCACCGGAGGAGCCTGGGGATCCATGGGCATCGACTGCCAATTTGAAGCACTCCTCGCCGACATCTTTGGAGAGAAGTTCATGGCACATTTCACCCACAACAAGCCCATCAGCTGGGTGGAGCTGATGAGTCTATTCGAGGCCAAGAAGAGAGCGTTTAATCCGCAGAAGAACCTCCCGGTCAACATCTCCCTCCCGTACGCCTTCATAGACTACTTCAGAGAGAGAACGGGCCAGAGTGTGAAGTCTGCTGTAGACTCTTACGGAGACACGGGAGTCCAGTGGACCTCCCAGGGAATGCTCCGGCTTCACCCCTCCGTCATGATGACACTGTTTGAACCCATTGTGACTTCCATCGTCCGCCACATCTCGGACCTCCTCCTCATCCCGGAGCTGAGCCGCATCGAGTACCTCTTCCTGGTGGGCGGGTTCTCCGAGTCTCCCGTTCTCCAGGAGGCCATCCGCGTCGAGTTCCGCAACTACCTGCGTGTTGTCATACCACAGGACGTCAGTCTCACCATCCTCAAGGGAGCCGTGATGTTTGGCCTCGACCCAAGCCTCGTACACATAAGACGCTCCACTCTCACTTACGGCGTGGGCTGTCTCCATCCGTTTATGCCCCAGAAACACCCGATCGAGAAGAGAGTCACAAAGGGTGGCCGGGAATACTGCACAGACGTCTTTGACACTTTTGTCTACGCCGACCAGCCGGTGTCTCTTGGTCACGCAGCCATCAGGAGCTATGCTCCAGCCACTTCCAGCGCAACCTCCACAATCATCACACTCTATGCCAGCGAAAAGGAGTTTGTACGGTTCGTGACGGACCCTGGGGTCAGGAAAGTGGCCCAGCTGAAACTGGAGATGCCTCAGCTGCAGAGCCGCTGCAGAGAGCTCCACATGTCCATGGTGTTCGGAAATACTGAGGTGACAGTGGAGGCAGTGGACATTACCAGTGGTCAGACTGCTGCGGCCTCAGTCGACTTTCTAAACAAATAAATCATCTGCCTTTTTGTGTGTATTTTTCATGTGTCATCTCATACCTCACAACTATTACCGACCTCACAACCATTACCGACCTCACAACCATTACCGACCCCCTTTCTTCATCATTGTTTTCTCACGTCATAATGACCGTAAGGCTATGTCGCATTGCCCCGTCGAGAGGAGTTTGACGGGCACGGCGCGACACGGGGAAACTCCGCTGCGCACGCGATAGGGTAGGGGCCGCCGACGACCGATTGCTACGTACGTCACGCGATAGGGTGGGGCTCGTTTAGGCCGATTGCTACGTAGCTACGTAGCTAGCTAACGAGATGGCCGCTATCAGAAGAAATCAATTGTGTCTGTGTGTTGCAGCATTATCCGCTGCGAGTTTGCTCAGCATTGTAGGAATCATTTTCAGTGGTAGATTAGGCAACCCGACGAAAGAGCTCAGTGAGGGTTCCACCCCTAAATTATTCGTCGACAGACTCAAATTTACGAAGCATCACCAGCCAAGGGCGCTGGAAACTAGGAGAAGTCAGGCAATTCGCTCTTTCATGTCTACATCTGTTGGCTTTCATATGCCACTTGACCCAAACACCACTACAATAGAAGTGAATGCAAGCCGTCTTGTGCCGACAGGTTCGCCCCCCGCAACCAATGAAACAACTCCAAAGACATCTTCCCAATGCAAGCTACAGAACTGCATGGATAATAAAGACAAGCTGCATACGCCTGTAGATTTTCAAACACCAATTCACCCCAGGAGCAATACTACAACGGTAAATGCAAGTCGTCTGGTGCCAACAGGCTCACCCCCTCCAACAAAGAGTTCAAAGACATCTCCTCAATGCAAGCAACAGAATTGCCTGGATTTTCTCTCAACTAGAGACAAGCAGGAACATTCAAAATGCTTGAGTGAAACTAGGAAGTATTTCAAAAAGGACACAGACATAAAGCCAAGCTCTTGTAACTTTCTTCCAGACAGATCTCGCAGGGCTGTGGCCCTAGCCAGCCCAGAGGGCTCAGGTAATACATGGCTCAGGGTACTTCTGGAGAAGGCCACAGGTGTGTGCACTGGATTCTGCTGCTGTGACCCAGAACTCAGGGTCCTGGGGTTTCCCGGAGAAAGAATCACCAGCGGAAGTGTGCTGGTGGTAAAGACTCACATCGTCCTTCCCCAGTGGGTCGGAGCCAAAAAGGCGCTGCAATGGGAAGGCTCCTATGGCTCTGCCGTGTTCTTGGTCCGTAATCCAGCAAGAGCGCTGATTGCAGAGTGGAACCGCAGGGCCACCAACAATTTAAAAAGGGAAAGGAACAAAAGGCCCCATGGGAGCTCCAATAGAGCTCGTCTTGACTCCCATACATATGCTGTTTCTGAGGAGGAGTTCAGTATGTTTCACACACTATAATGTCTGCACATTCACTCCAGCCTTTCCACAGTCACTTTCAACTGAGCCTGAAAATTTAGCTATGCACACCCAAAACCTTTAACTGCGTCCCTGTATTATTGTGTGTTTGCAAACTGGAAGGTACTATAGATGTGTGAAAGAAGGCCAAAATATGAACCAATAAATTCCACTGAGTTTTAATAACTCGCCTTCATGATATAAAATTTGTACTTTCAGGAAGTGATGAGTGGAGAGGTTTTGCAGAAGAATACTTGATACAATGGTTCATGCGGTTGAATCAGTGGGTGTTTATGAATGACAACCACCCAGTGCATGTGGTGAGCTACGAAGACCTACAAAACGACACCGTCAGAGAAGTGGAGAAGATCCTGGACTTTCTCCACTTCCCCTACAGCCACGAGGACCTGATCCAGAGACTGAGAGTCAACTTCACCACCTTCCAGAGGCCTCACATGAACGATGGGTTCCAGCATTTCTCTCCAGAGCAAAAGGAGCGACTGAGGCTAACATTGAAAACTACGATAAGTACTGCCAAGAAATCAGGAAAAGAGCACCTATTCCATTTCAACGAATACTTAGAGTCGTTACATAATATCACATAGCATAATGAATGTTAAAGTCAAAGTGTCACGAAGTTAGCGCGCATGCGCATGAAACTTCACCACCTTCCAGAGGCCTCACATGAACGATGGGTTCCAGTATTTCTCTCCAGAGCAAAAGGAGCGACTGAGGCTAACAATTACTCAACTAATGGGCGCAGCCAAAACTGCTGGAAATGCCGACCTTTTTCTTTTTTAGCAAGTATTTAGCAGATTTGCCTTTTGTAAGTTAATTTTATTGCTTCTACTATTGTGTGGTGACACTGTCACTGCATTTTTTCAGCGGTTTCACCCAAGGATATATATCCAATTACAAGCATCCTGACAGGAGTGATTTCTTGCATAGCTACATCACCCACCAGGTTGTCCATAAAACATTCCATTGCAGTGTTAGCTAGGAGACAAGTTTGTGGTAGCGCACCCAGCCTGTGGTAGCCGATATATACAGGAGCCCTATTAATCATGTACACAGTACACTCCAAATACGTAATGAGGTCCGCATTACACATCATTCGTATGGAGCCATGCTGTCCGCTTGACCCGATCATGGCAACAAGTACACTTTCCTTGTGGATTCTTATTCAGCCTCAGTCGCTCCTTTTGCTCTGGAGTCTGGAGAGAAATGCTGGAACCCATCGTGCACATGCTCTACGTGGTAAAGACTCACATCGTCTTTCCCCAGTGGGTCGGAGCCAAAAAGGCGCTGCAATGGGAAGGCTCCTATGGCTCTGCCGTGTTCTTGGTCCGTAATCCAGCAAGAGCGCTGATTGCAGAGTGGAACCGCAGGGCCACCAACAATTTAAAAAGGGAAAGGAACAAAAGGCCCCATGGGAGCTCCAATAGAGCTCGTCTTGACTCCCATACATATACTGTTTCTGAGGAGGAGTTCAGTATGTTTCACACACTATATAATGTCTGCACATTCACTCCAGCCTTTCCACAGTCACTTTCAACTGAGCCTGAAAATTTAGCTATGCACACCCAAAACCTTTAACTGCGTCCCTGTATTATTGTGTGTTTGCAAACTGGAAGGTACTATAGATGTGTGAAAGAAGGCCAAAATATGAACCAATAAATTCCACTGAGTTTTAATAACTCGCCTTCATGATATAAAATTTGTACTTTCAGGAAGTGATAAGTGGAGAGGTTTTGCAGAAGAATACTTGAAACAATGGTTCATGCGGTTGAATAAGTGGGTGTTTATGAATGACAACCACCAGGTGCATGTGGTGAGCTACGAAGACCTACAAAACGACACCGTCAGAGAAGTGGAGAAGATCCTGGACTTTCTCCACTTCCCCTACAGCCACGAGGACCTGATCCAGAGACTGAGAGTCAACTTCACCACCTTCCGGAGGCCTCACATGAACGATGGGTTCCAGCATTTCTCTCCAGAGCAAAAGGAGCGACTGAGGCTAACATTGAAAACTACGATAAGTACTGCCAAGAAATCAGGAAAAGAGCACCTATTCCATTTCAACGAATACTTAGAGTCGTTACATAATATCACATAGCATAATGAATGTTAAAGTCAGTGTCACGAAGTTAGCGCGCATGCGCATGAAACTTCACCACCTTTCGGAGGCCTCACATGAACGATGGGTTCCAGCATTTCTCTCCAGAGCAAAAGGAGTGACTGTGGCTAACAATTACTCAACTAATGGGCGCAGCCAAAACTGCTGGAAATGCCGACCTTTTTCTTTTTTAGCAAGTATTTAGCAGATTTGCCTTTTGTAAGTTAATTTTATTGCTTCTACTATTGTGTGGTCACTGCATTTTTTCAGCGGTTTCACCCAAGGATATATATCCAATTACAAGCATCCTGACAGGAGTGATTTCTTGCATAGCTACATCACCCACCAGGTTGTCCATAAAACATTCCATTGCAGTGTTAGCTAGGAGACAAGTTTGTGGTAGCGCACCCAGCCTGTGGTAGCCGATATATACAGGAACCCTATCAATCATGTACACAGTACACTCCAAATACGTAATGAGGTCCGCATTACACATCATTCGTATGGAGCCATGCTGTCCGCTTGACCCGATCATGGCAACAAGTACACTTTCCTTGTGGATTCTTATTCAGCCTCAGTCGCTCCTTTTGCTCTGGAGTCTGGAGAGAAATGCTGGAACACATCGTGCACATGCTCTACGTGGTAAAGACTCACATCGTCTTTCCCCAGTGGGTCGGAGCTAAAAAGGCGCTGCAATGGGAAGGCTCCTATGGCTCTGCCGTGTTCTTGGTCCGTAATCCAGCAAGAGCGCTGATTGCAGAGTGGAACCGCAGGGCCACCAACAATTTAAAAAGGGAAAGGAACAAAAGGCCCCATGGGAGCTCCAATAGAGCTCGTCTTGACTCCCATACATATGCTGTTTCTGAGGAGGAGTTCAGTATGTTTCACACACTATATAATGTCTGCACATTCACTCCAGCCTTTCCACAGTCACTTTCAACTGAGCCTGAAAATTTAGCTATGCACACCCACAACCTTTAACTGCGTCCCTGTATTATTGTGTGTTTGCAAACTGGAAGGTACTATAGATGTGTGAAAGAAGGCCAAAATATGAACCAATAAATTCCACTGAGTTTTAATAACTCGCCTTCATGATATAAAATTTGTACTTTCAGGAAGTGATAAGTGGAGAGGTTTTGCAGAAGAATACTTGAAACAATGGTTCATGCGGTTGAATCAGTGGGTGTTTATGAATGACAACCACCCAGTGCATGTGGTGAGCTACGAAGACCTACAAAACGTCACCGTCAGAGAAGTGGAGAAGATCCTGGACTTTCTCCACTTCCCCTACAGCCACGAGGACCTGATCCAGAGACTGAGAGTCAACTTCACCACCTTCCGGAGGCCTCACATGAACGATGGGTTCCAGCATTTCTCTCCAGAGCAAAAGGAGCGACTGAGGCTAACATTGAAAACTACGATAAGTAGAGCCAAGAAATCAGGAAAAGAGCACCTATTCCATTTCAATGAATACTTAGAGTCGTTACATAATATCACATAGCATAATGAATGTTAAAGTCAAAGTGTCACGAAGTTAGCGCGCATGCGCATGAAACTTCACCACCTTCCAGAGGCCTCACATGAATGATGGGTTCCAGCATTTCTCTCCAGAGCAAAAGGAGCGACTGAGGCTAACAATTACTCAACTAATGGGCGCAGCCAAAACTGCTGGAAATGCCGACCTTTTTCTTTTTTAGCAAGTATTTAGCAGATTTGCCTTTTGTAAGTTAATTTTATTGCTTCTACTATTGTGTGGTGACACTGTCACTGCATTTTTTCAGCGGTTTCACCCAAGGATATATATCCAATTACAAGCATCCTGACAGGAGTGATTTCTTGCATAGCTACATCACCCACCAGGTTGTCCATAAAACATTCCATTGCAGTGTTAGCTAGGAGACAAGTTTGTGGTAGCGCACCCAGCCTGTGGTAGCCGATATATACAGGAACCCTATTAATCATGTACACAGTACACTCCAAATACGTAATGAGGTCCGCATTACACATCATTCGTATGGAGCCATGCTGTCCGCTTGACCCGATCATGGCAACAAGTACACTTTCCTTGTGGATTCTTATTCAGCCTCAGTCGCTCCTTTTGCTCTGGAGTCTGGAGAGAAATGCTGGAACCCATCGGGCACATGCTCTACGTGGTAAAGACTCACATCGTCTTTCCCCAGTGGGTCGGAGCCAAAAAGGCGCTGCAATGGGAAGGCTCCTATGGCTCTGCCGTGTTCTTGGTCCGTAATCCAGCAAGAGCGCTGATTGCAGAGTGGAACCGCAGGGCCACCAACAATTTAAAAAGGGAAAGGAACAAAAGGCCCCATGGGAGCTCCAATAGAGCTCGTCTTGACTCCCATACATATGCTGTTTCTGAGGAGGAGTTCAGTATGTTTCACACACTATATAATGTCTGCACATTCACTCCAGCCTTTCCACAGTCACTTTCAACTGAGCCTGAAAATTTAGCTATGCACACCCACAACCTTTAACTGCGTCCCTGTATTATTGTGTGCTTGCAAACTGGAAGGTACTATAGATGTGTGAAAGAAGGCCAAAATATGAACCAATAAATTCCACTGAGTTTTAATAACTCGCCTTCATGATATAAAATTTTTACTTTCAGGAAGTGATGAGTGGAGAGGTTTTGCAGAAGAATACTTGAAACAATGGTTCATGCGGTTGAATCAGTGGGTGTTTATGAATGACAACCACCCAGTGCATGTGGTGAGCTACGAAGACCTACAAAACGACACCGTCAGAGAAGTTGAGAAGATCCTGGACTTTCTCCACTTCCCCTACAGCCACGAGGACCTGATCCAGAGACTGAGAGTCAACTTCACCACCTTCCAGAGGCCTCACATGAACGATGGGTTCCAGCATTTCTCTCCAGAGCAAAAGGAGCGACTGAGGCTAACATTGAAAACTACGATAAGTAGAGCCAAGAAATCTGGAAAAGAGCACCTATTCCATTTCAACGAATACTTAGAGTCGTTATATCACATAGTATAATGTCATGATTTGCGATGTGTGTGCAGCCGAAGTATTATACACCAGAGGAGGTTGGCACAATCAACATGCGTAACTAGAACGGACGTAACTATTATAGAACCTCCTCTGACACCGGCTAAGCATGTCAAGAGCAGAAAGACAAATGTTTCTGCTCTCTCTTCTATCGCTGTTCTCTGTTATTGTCTACTTGGGAATCGCCATGAGGCCCACTTCGTTTGCCCGTAAAATCTCCTCCAACCTTCAACCTCGTGAAAGATTAGCCTACTCGCTAGTCGAGGGGGTACCTTCAGCTGCTCCGGTGTCGAACGCGACCTTCACTCGCCATAATGATACACCCACTGCAGCCCAAGGGTTAGCTGCGTCCACACTGGTTATGCTTCCGAAGCAGGTGCAGAGCATCATGAATGCCCCCGCCGCAGCGAATTCTGACGTTCACCTCTCGATGTCGCCTGCAGATGTCAGGTTTATGGATACCAGTCTTCCTACTGCAGCATCAGCCTCCCCGAGACTCACCAGCCTTGGAAAAAGTGGGGAAGAGCGCGTTGTGAGGGATTCATCAGCGAAATCTGCGGTCGGGTCTAGAAGACCTGCTGAGACACGGACATCCAGCACACCTCCTCCCGATAAGCTTCGCACAGACAGACCTTCTTCTCTCCGCCAACATCGCATCAGGCCTACTACGAATTCAGCCCCTAAAAAGTTTGAGTGGCCATCGTCTGAGGGACCTCCTCAGTGTTTGGAGCCCAACTGTCGGGATCTGCTCTCACCCAGTGACCAGTTAGCCTTGAGGAGATGTGAGTCTAAAGCATTGAACTACATTCACGTCCCGTTCACAAAGCCCACCTGCCACTTTGTGAAAGTATGGGGCAACTCGCGGAGAGCAGTAGCACTCAACAGTCAGGAGGGCTCGGGAAACACCTGGCTACGAGGGCTGCTGGAGAAAGCCACAGATATCTGCACGGGGTTCTATGGCTGTGACTATGAGATGATGGGCACGAGGGTTTCTGGGGGAAGGAGTAAAGACAGCCAGCGTTCTAGTGGTCAAGACTCATGTCCACATACCTCAGTGGTTCGATGAGAGAAGAGCGGTAATGTACGAGGGGTCTTACGGTTCGGCAGTGTTCCTTATTCGCAACCCGGCCAGAGGTGTGATAGCCGAGTGGAGCCGCCTCTACACTGCAGCCCACCATTCTTTCAACTCACACACTAGCACAATCCCAGAGTCAGCATTTGGTAAGTGGAAAGCGTTGAGTATGCTAGAGGTTCTGCTGCATTAAGGTAGATAAATCCCAGGATGCAATATTTCCCTTGTGTTTCAGGGAGTAAAGAATGGGTGGAATTCGTTGAAAGGTATCTCGATAGGTGGAAGGAGCGAACCATAAACTGGGTCCTGATGAACAAAAGACACCCAGTGCATGTGGTGAGCTACGAAGACCTACAAAACGACACCGTCAGAGAAGTGGAGAAGATCCTGGACTTTCTCCACTTCCCCTACAGCCACGAGGACCTGATCCAGAGACTGAGAGTCAACTTCACCACCTTCCAGAGGCCTCACATGAACGATGGGTTCCAGCATTTCTCTCCAGAGCAAAAGGAGCGACTGAGGCTAAACATTACTCAACTAATGGCTGCAACCAAAACTGCTGGAAAGGCAGACCTTTTTCTTTTTAGCAGGTATTTAGCAGATTTGCCTTTTGTAAGCTAATTTTACTATTGTGTGGTGACACTATGTTTTCACCCAAGGATATACGATTACAAGCGTACTCACGAGATTCCATCCCATTGGAATGTTAGCTAAGATCTGTGGTAGCTCACCCAGCCTGTGGTAGCCGATACAGGAGCTTCTAGATTTCTTAATGCTTCTGTTTCTAGGAGATGATAAATGAGTGTAGCTATGTTCATGTTATGGAGGTATCATGTGTCCTGCTACGAATGTAAATAGTCGTGTAGGTCCAATAGGTGGGACAGTCTGGAGCTATTGAGCAGCTGAATAGAGTCATTGACTGTTCTGAGAACACGTTGTTTCTGGCCCGGTGTGTAGTGCTCAAAGCCAGGCTTGTGGCTCCGGTGAAAGGAGTCGAACCCTTTAACCAGTCTCTCGTCCACCTCTTTGTCTCTGTAGGGCATCTGGAGGAAGGAGAGTATCCTCTTGACCTGGTGAGAGGCGTTCTTCAGAAGGTCTTCGTACTTGATGACCAAGATGGCGTGACGCTCGTGGGACACGACCCATTCTTTTATCATGAACTGCCAGCGGGGTACCTGCTTCTGGAGAAACTCCACCCACTTTTGATTGGTTCCTGAAAAGAAAAGAAAACCACGGTGGTATGAGTCTGCACCTAATATATACCTCTGAAAAGGACTCTCTGAATAAAGTACACCTCTTCATATATACAGGTTCTCTCCTCTAAATAAGGGCACTATGATGTTCTATTATTCAGAGGTTTTATTTTACTGCTGTATACATCATGTCCAATCCACTCACCAAACCATTCCTTCCCTGCACTCTTGACGTGACTGGTTAAGGAAATTGTGTATCCGTGAAAGTCGTTGGCAATTCTGCGGTTCCACTCAGACACCAGTGCATCCAGAGGGTTGCGGACAAGAAACACAGCCGAATCAAAATTACCTCTGCCCCTCCCGTGTCTCTTCTTGCCCTTCCAGTTGGGGAGTCCGTGAGTCTTGACCACCAGGACGGCTCCGCTCACAACGTTTTCCCCGGCAAAACCCTTCACTCTCATGCTCATGTCGCAGAACTCAAAGCCGGTGCAGACCCCAGTGGCCGTCTCCAGGAGACCCCGGAGCCAGGTGTTGCCCGAGCCGGGGTAGCTGGCCAGAGCCACGGGTGCCCGGTGTGTCTGCGGCATGAATCGACAGTGTTCCTCTCCTACAGTGCCCTTGTGGGCCTCCACCTTCTGCAAACAGCTTCTGAAATGGCTCTTGTCGTCCTCGTTGAGGAATTCTGTGCAGAGTCGATCGCTGCACTTTGGCTCTGGTAGCAGGCGGGAAGAACCGTGCAGTACTGGTTTCTTGCGGGGAGGATTCGATGGCTGTCTGCCATTAGTGCTGTCTCCTGTGCTGGGACTGTCATTAGTGACAGAGAATGGGGTTCTATTGTGCAATGTTTTGGGTGGCCCTGTATTGATTACACCCGATGACCTGTCTTGGTTGCCTGTGTTATGGTTCACCACCGAGGGATATCTGAACGTTGACTGTACATTACGAGACGATCCTCCTGCTGAATGATAGCTATTGCAACCTGGGCACTTTGTATTAGTTCTCGCATTGTCGATGCCATCAGTCGGTCCTCCGGCTGAAATGAGCAGTGATACTATGTAGCAGACGAGGAAGAAAAGTCCCGCTTGAATGAGTGTGGAGACTAGAAGTCTTCTGGAGAGCATTTTCCAAACCTGCAACAAGAGTTCGCATAATTCTACGCATGCGCAGCACGCAAACACATCGCGATCTGAAATTGTGGGCGAGACGTACGTGCGGGAAGACCAGAAACAGCTCAACTTTACCAGCTAAAAAATGATTGTAATGTATCTTACCCGTGCGTGTAATACACTTCTTCACGGCGCGGCCGGCAGCAAGCACAGTGGTGCGTGATGAACGTCGGAGAGAGCGAGACCAGTCAGCGGCCGACGACGGCCCGGACCGGCAAACGGGATGAACCAGCAGCGAAGACTCGGTTACAAAGACGAGATTTCTTCAGCTATGACCTATAGTGGGAGTAATATACACTGCGTGCTTGCGGTGATTAAAACCTAAACAGTCTGTAATTTCATAGACACCAGATTGTAGCCATGGAATGCGCAAAATACCATTCTCTTGTATAAACATCCCCTTATATTGTGTGTTGTTGTAGTTGTTGCGCAAACGAGGAAACGGACGCTAGTTATACGCACACCATTCCTTTGCACTTGATATTAATTATGATATAAAGCTATAGGAAATGAAGACAATATAATAATATGTAAATGAGAGTTGTCATAATACTAAACGAAGTATATTACTGCTGCTGCTCATAGAACACTCTTTTCCTTCATCCTGTGGGGACACAGAGTGGTGAGCAGTTGATAGGAAAATATGAGAAAACTCACGGGAAGTCTCGGTATCCGTCGTCGTCGGTGCTGTTCTGTCGGAGATAGTGTGTGGAGGCCAGGACGGCGAGGACAATGAGAGGGATGAACCAGAGACAGCAGAACCCCAGCGACCACCAGTACCCGTTCTATAGTGACACGAGAAACTCTGTTTATCTTGACTCTGGCTCTGGTTGTGTGTTTGTGCGAAGTGCTCTTGACTCTATGCTATAATGACGACGTGGCGGCATCTCTGCAATTTTTGTCAAGAGGCAGTCCTTTTGTCTTGGTTTGGCACAAATTCAATCGTGGGACCGTACACCATGTACAAGTGGATTTTCAATATGAACACAAACTACTATGTATATATAATACATAGTGGAGGGCTGAAGTACTAAGTGGACTTACCAAACCATCCACTGCTTCATTGCACACAACTCCGTAGGCACTTGAATAGATGGTGGCCAGGGGTCTGCACTGGCCCACTTCACTCTCAATCTGAAGTGAATGACTACCACATAGCATGGGGCATTACTAATGTGTATACAGCTCACAGCAGTGGCAGTGAAGTTTATGAAAGACTCTGTGTAGTTCTCCAGGTTGTACAGTGCGGTGAGAGCAATCTGTAGTGAAGAGTGCCACAATCATGTACTTAACGTAGCAGCAGTTTACGTAATTCAGCCACTTACGTTAGCTATTCTTCCCCTGAAGTCATCTCCAGTCAGGTTAGCAACGACACCATCAATATCTGCCACTATCGTATTCGTCTCGATCTGTAGAGACCACAAGTTAACCGTGTAATGGAGAACTCTGCTGGCTCCACCCATTATTCTGGGTGCCTTATCCAAACAGTTGTGAGCTATATTATACAGTTCCATCAAAGTAGTGGCCGAGTCTGTAATGTATGTAACTCTATGCTGTTAGGTTCACCAGTTAGTGTCCCCAGTTCTCATGAGCTGGTGCAGAGAAAGCGAACTACTAGGCCACCGACTGTGACTGAACTCACCACCACAGTGTCGATATGAGTGGAGAGCTGGTCCACCTGCTGCTCAAGGAGCTCCACGTTACCCTCTATAGCTCCGAGCTGGGTGTCCCTAATAGTCACCAATTCTGTGATGATACCCTGAGTCTGAAATTCCAGGTCTGTCTCCCCAGCCGCGGCGAAAGCGTCTCTCAACTGCATTAGAGTGGCAATGGTCTCGGTGAGGTTGAAACCGAGGGTGTCGGTTGATAGTGTCTCCCTGAATGCTGAAACAGACAGAGATTGAAAGCAATCGACAAATAGAAACACCGCCAGTTACAAAAACAGAAAAAATGTAAAACCACTTTTAATACAAACTGAAGCACGGTAATCAATAAACATAGAGACATTTAGTTCAGTGTGTATAGTGTATACGTTTGTGTGTGTGTGTGTGTGTGTGCGTGCATGTGTGTGTGTGTGTGTGTGCGTGCATGTGTGTGTGTGTGTGTTAAGAGCATTCTATTACCAGTGATGTTAATGGAGTCGACGCTGGCCGATGTGAAGTCATTGAGTGCAGTCTGAGTGGCGTTGTCGAGAAAACTGTCTGAAGTGTAGTTAAAACTGTTGATGGTGTCGTCGATTTGCTGCTGAAGGTCATCAAATATCTGGAGCCCACACACACACACACACACACAAGCTGGTTTTCAGAGCCGCGACAGAGAGAGGATGGCTCACCTCACTGGTGTTGAGGATTCTGTCTCTCACATCAAACAGAGATTGGAGGTTGAAGGCCGTGTACAGAGCTTCATTTGCTTCACATGCCCTGTATAACACATATAATACATACCTGGTAATGTACACTAGTACCACGCGTATGGTTGGGAGATGTTTTGACATTACTGATGCTGCTCATTACGCAACAATGCACAGTATGTAATTGGTGGTTTAGTCGGGAGTCATGGAGTAATCATTCCTTATTGTAGCTCCAACGCTATCATTAAAAGTTAATACTAGACATCATGTAATACATGTACAATGGTATTGTGGTCTGATAATACAGCACTTCAAGATTGGTACCAATCCAATGTATTGCCCTTCTAGGACAGTATACAGGTCGAAGTGCGTTCTGTTTCAGCGTACGGCAAAGTGAATTCTATAGCCAGCCGCGATAGTAGCACTGAACTCAGTGCTAGAATGGACACAAGACTGATGCGGTGGAGTGTGGTGTATAGTGGTGGTGTGGCTCACCGAAGAGCTCCAGAGAGTGAGAGGTTTCTTCCTTCTCCCAGCAAAGCCTCACCGAGGAGAGACCCACCCCACAGCTCTCTGTTGTCCACCACCTTCACATGAAACAATGTACATTTGGTGTATTCAACACACCACCCAATACACTACCATGGTAACCTTTCAAGCGGGAAAACAAATTACGACACAGTGGCAAACAAAATATTTTGCTGCTCTCAAACTGTGACACTCGCAAAAATGTCTTCCTTAAACATCTTCTACTGATGGTATATATGCTAGATAGGCGTACCCTGGTGTATAGTTCATACTCTGGTGGCTCGATGGCCTGACATATCTTCTGCATGTTGGAGCCGAAGAAGAAGGCCAGGGAGGCCAGAATGAGGAGTACAAATGCAAAGAGGAACGTGAGCCCAACGTCACTGTATTGACGAGACGGAGAGAGAGGTAACGAGAGAGAGAGAGAGAAGGATAGAAAGACAGGGAGAGGGGGCGTTAAAGAGGCACGACAGACAAACAGATGAGATGAATGAAGAAGTGAAGAGACTCCAATGAAGTCTAGAGATTTGGTAGTTGGCAACTCACACGAGAAGAACGATCCCGCCACAGTGGGAGGGCTTGGTCCTACTGTTCGGAGATCTGTCCTTCCTCCAGCCCGCCACTCCAAGAATCATTCCCACCAGAGTCAGCACCACAGTGGTGAGGGCCAGGCAGCACACTATGACGCCAAACGCATACCTGGACAAGACAGAAAGATGTATACACACCTCACGACTCTCTGCAACCTCTGCATGCAACGCATGTGAACACATCATTAGAAATGAAACATCACACACATTATGAAATACATATCAACATTGCTCTGCAAAAAACTCAATGCATTGATTCAGTTAAAAAAAGCACGGAGTATGGACGGTATTGACCTGTACACATCATATTCTTGTAGTCTCTCAAAGAACTGGTTGAAGTAGCACTGTCGAATGAAGCCGACGTCCACTGTGGTATCCCCTGCGTCCCCTGCGAGGATCTCGTCCAGCGTCGGGCAGTCCTCTATGTCATACTCATTCCTGATCACCTGTATTAAGTAACCAATGGTCTACCATCGGTATAATGACTTTCTAGAGCTATGTACTAGATCACTATTTATGGACAACATTGTAGTGATTTGCTTCTGTGTGTATATATATAGGTGGCCAGAAGACATTGCGAAAACCAACTTCTGTCGGGAGTCAATTCCTGGTCCCACTATACTCTGGGAGTCCAGTTACTGAGCTCTACACTGACTTGACTTCCCGTCAGAAGTTGGTTTTCTTTCCTCCTCTGACACCACAGAAACATCTGCTATGGTGCCCTGTACATGTACGCACTCGTCTGACGTCTCCGATCACTTCGTCACGAGTGTCGAATAGAGTGCTGTTGGCGTCAGTCAGGGCGCCGAGAACACTGGACGAATTGGAGGACGCTGCACGACATGAGGAGAGAGAGGAAACACGTTGAAGGGTGACCGGTGTGTCAAACCTTAGGCTAGGGCATAGTACCAATTTCCAATTTTGAAGTGCAGTGCATTTTGCAACTACAGCTCATATCAAGGAGCTAGGGTCTCTGTAATCTTAACATTTTCCAAAAAAAACCCCAGAAATAAATACCCAGAGGTGTTGGTATAAAGTAAGATCTCACTGTCGTCTAGTCCGCCGAGGTGTTCGTTGATTTGAGACTGGATTTCTCCAGAGATCCTCTCAAACTCAGCATTACCCTATTTAATGTGTCATTGGTGGAGAATGGAGTCACACAGAGTATATAGATAGACTCAACTTGTACTCACTCAACTGAGTGCGGAAGTAATGGCAGATCATCACTATGTATGGGCACTGTAGTACATAGGGGGCTAAAATTCTGATGGCACAAGGAGAGGCAGGTAAAATAGATGCATAGCATCATGGATGTATGGGACTATAATAGCAGGGAGTTGCAATCTCTGTGTACATGTTTACACATGACTGTATGAAAAGGAGACTCAGTGACTGTACAGTTACAATGTGTGTACCTCTTCTATGCTGTTATCGAGGTTGATGCCATCTAGAGCGTCCTGCACGTCACTCAATTCTTGGGACACATCAGGTAGCTGAGGGGCAGTACAAGTGAAAGAGAGGGAGAGTTACAGTTGCAGCACATGTAAACCTTACAGTGTACATCGTATACTGACATTGCTGTAGTTGGCACCGGCTTGAAACACGGAAGAAGGCGGTATGTTTCCACACTGGGATGTGGCACCGCTGACCCAGCACACGACGAGCTCAGACTATCGACATTTGCAGCAATGTTACTGAGAGTCGTGCTCAGATCGTTTCCGTTGGACTGGAGTTGCTGGGTAGTCGCAGACACGTTCATAAGTATGTCGCTCGTCTGGTTTATGCCTGTGGATGGAGGAGGAGCAAGGTCGTGCATATTAGTAATACACACGTGAATTGTGATACGGCAACAGAGTAACTCTATGCATGGCCTGTGCATCACTCTGTGAAATGATAGTGCAATAGAAGGTCTATAATACAAGACAGACAAACACTCGAAGGGAAGGGGCTACCACGGAAGGTATGGGTAGAAGGTACATAGATCCTTACCAGCAGTGAGGGTGTTAAGGCGCTGGAGAACCTTGTCCACGTCTACCGCCACTTCGTCCAATTGTTCATTCAGTGATATGTTTAACACTGGAGACATCAGGGGCAGAGGGAGAGACACACACAGTCGGTAATTGTATACACCGTATATATATAGCCTTCGGGGGAGAAATCCGTGAATTTCAGATTTAGGGCTGATCGTGAGTTTTGTTAGTAAAAAGGGACAAATTGCCTGCTACCCTAATATACCAGTTGTTTCGTTCAGTGCAATGTCCGTCACTTGGATGAACTGGCACAAGATTCCATCTCCATCCTGCATTTAATAAAACGGTACGAAACAAGAAGAATTTTAGGTCATATCCTCTGCTTCAGATATACATGGCTTGTACATACAGTGGAGCCCCCTCTCAAAGGACACCCCTGACACCTCTCTAATAAGTGAAACAAGGATACACTCAGTCACTATTTCATCTGTGTCCAAATCAGAGGAGTTCCACATTAGCGGCTACCAAGCAGTTCTTACATCAAGGAAAGCATTAATGTAGTCGACAGCAGTCCCCACGATGTCGTTCATTGTAGTTTGGAGACTTTCTATGGTGTCAAATGACTGCTCGTTGCTGTAGAACGATAGCACCACTCCAACACTGCAGGGAGAGGGGGAGAGAGAATGAGCTACGGTGGAATCCTCATCCAAGTAAATAGAACCCTGAAACGAGGAACACTTTTCTACTTTATCTTCCCAAAAACAGTTCTTGCTTAATAAGAACACCTCACTAATTCTGTCCTATTGGTGTCCAGATTAGAGGGGTTCGACTGTATTAGTGACAGAGAAGGACTGCAGAATGTGGAGCTCTTACAAGAGGAGCAGGGTGACCAGGAAGAGGGCAATGGTGACGCCGAACATGTACTCGTCCTTTGGGTCTCTCTGGGAGCGTCCGCCGCCACACTGACCACAGCAGCGGCAGCACCAGAAGATGGCACCCACAATCCCAAACACAATGGCCATCACTCCTCCCAGCACCGTCACTGCTATCAGCGGTGCCCACCACTCTCCAAACTGTACATTATGGAGTTTTATTTACACAAGAAAACATGTATATACAGCTGGTGATACTATGGTAGATAAATACAGACTCGTATAATAGACAGCGACTGACATTTTGGGTTACGCTCTAACACCCTTTCAGAAATCCACATGTGTATGCTAATAATACGTGGGAAATGTTTACATGTAGATAATGGATAGACTGGGAGTCGAGACTCATCATGTCCAGGACTGTTCTCCAGAGGATTGGCTGGTAGATATGCCAGCCTTGAAGGCAGAAGTGTTTCAGAGTGATTGAACATGCACACTTGTGGCATGCACTGGATTTGACTAAACTAGCTACGGTTTTTTTTAAATCCAGGCAATGGCTCCTCTCACCTCCTGAAGAGTGGTCTGAACATCGGTGTCTCCGGAGGTGCAAACCTCATCACTCCTACTCTCGATGACAGAGCATCCCAGGTCATTCTCTGTGATGGTCTCCTCTATTACATCTGTATCGACAGTGAGGAGGTGGCAGGAAAAGATGGCGACGTAACACAATCCAAAGTGAACTATGTATACACACGTACGTACTGCATTGCCCCAGAGGCTATTAAAACGGAAGGCATGCACCTCCATATCTCGTGTGTGTGTGGTGTGTGTGGTGTGAATCAGCTATATACAGCGTAACTATGTACAGCCTCATCCGTTGTAATATAGCAAAAGGCGGGAAGCTATGGAATCACTGTGGGTAAGTACGAGAACTGTGGTGTCAACCTGGGTGCTAGCTTCCACAAACATACAGTAAACCGAAGGGTTTGCACAGGAAACCAATGCATTGTTGAGTAAGGAAATGGTAAATTAATTACGTATAATTATAATAATTATACTGACACGTTACAAAGACAAACATGGGTACCTAAAAAGCACATGATCCAGCTAGGCGGACACTGACACATACGTATATGGTGCACAGTTCACATTCACACACACACTAGCAGTGGACGAATAGAGCACACCGAGTGCTCTATACAAGTCACGAGATTCTGTTTTCAAACAAACAAACATCGTGCAGGTCCAGGTTCTAGAAATGAAATGCAGACCTTTGCCAGCCGGTGAATTATCGTGTGGTTGCATGCGTTGTATGTATCGGGTGGTCTGAAAGCTTTGCAAGTATACTCAGATTCAACGCAACGCTGGCCAAACGCTAAACAAGGGGATGGCATGAGCACTGTTTTTTATGACAGAGGCCTAGCCAAAGAGGTTGCCGGGCAAACCCGTTGACTTTCTGAGCTACAGTACATCACGCCTTGAGCCATGAATAGCTGTAGCTACAATAGCACCCGGAGAAGACGTAGACGTCACAATGCTTTGCAGAAAAGCCACCCAAACACTGCACCGACTGACAGATGATGTGGAGACTCACCGTACGGCAGGTTTTGGGGTTGGACGGTGTTGACAAAACCCCTGGCCAGGTCGTACCAACCCCCCAGTCCCTGGGGGTTATAATCTTCCGTGTCGGGCGCGTCTGTGGGTGGCAGCGACCCGTACATTAGGTCTCCGTTCGGAGCGCGAGTCACACGGGTGTCCTCTCTACACTCCAGGCTACTGGACTGTCCGCTGACGGCGGCCAGTAACAGAGCTACGACTGAGAGGACTGCGAGAGGGCTCGGGGGTGGTTTCCCGGTCGGCATCACTGTAAAATTCTACGTAAAAGTTGGTCCACTGCAGACGGCAAGGCAAGAAATAGTGAAGTATTGCCGACTCTGTAGGTACGCAGTCCTCGGCCGGTGTCTGCTGCAGACCTGAGTGGTCGAAAGTGAAGTCGCTTCTAGTCAAAAATTGGTTGCCACGCCCTTTTACAAATGCGCATGCGCTGTGCCTTGGGGCTGCGGGGCCGGGGGTCGGTCCGGGAGGCCGGGGGGGAGTGTCCTATTAGTAAACCAAAACGCCAGCCTACTTAGCTATCAAAGATGATTGGCTCTGTCAGTGTGGCTATTCTTCTGCTGGTTGCTACTGTGGGCGCAGCGGAGTCGCCGAGCATTCCCTTCTCCCCTATCCCCACCGTCCCTGAACCCGCCTCGACCCCCAGGGACACGTCGCATGGCCTCGCAGGCTTCTACAGCCTGGCCAGAGGCATCGTGGACACCATCAGACCGGGAAATCTGCCTCACGGTACGTGTGGGAGCAGCAGGAGTACCATACGAAGCTCTGTTCATGTCTCTCGGTCATGTTTTCATTAGACACAGTGGGTGACTTGGCAGCAACGGTCAGCGACCATGTCGGATTGGACTGGGGGATACCTCCGCCTGATACGGACACCAGAGCCCTCGTCAACGAGGTAAACCTCTTATCCCCTGCAGTTGGTGCAGACATAGATAAACTCTCGTCTTCGTCTTCGTTTCGTAGTTCCTCCGGTGGCTGGCTCCAGCAATAGCAGCAATGGTCCTTGGTGTGTTGCTGGCGGTGTTAGTCCCCGTGGTTGGCTGCTGCACTCTCTGCTGCCGAGCCTGCGGCCGCTGTGGGGCAAAGTCGAGAATGTATCGAAAGAAGAACCAGAACGTCAAGTGTTTGATACTCACCAGTATCTTCCTGGTCACAACCTCCATGATTTTGTAAGTCGAATCAAAGAGATTACAATTAATTTTTAATACGTAGAGATTACAATTTTTCAACGGTGTAGTGTTGGAGCGACCATTGGTGCAGTTTCTGCAAAGCATGTGACGGAAAGTCTGGGAGAGTTGGAGTCAACAGTCAACACTGCTCTGACTGATGTGGGCAATTACTTGGATGGTGGAGCACAAGTACATAGGGTAATGTCATGCATGGTTAATTGTGTGGAATGTCATTCCAGCAAGTGTTCTTCGTGGCTGATGATCAGTTTGGTGTGTTTGAGGCTCACGTGCTGAATGATATCGACCGTAAGTTGCATATCACGAGGACCTGCATATGCGATTTACTCTTCTTTCCCTGTGCTCAGATATTGGAGAGTGGTTCGAATCGAGTATTGGGAGCGATTTCCAATCCAGTGCCCTCACTATTATCAACCAAGCATCTTCCCTCCTTTCAAGTAAGATATATCTCACCACAGCGCATTTTTTTTACAACTGACAAACACTTACTTGTTTCTTGTAGAACTAAGGGAAATTGATGCTCTGGTGGTCAGTGGTAACACTCTCGTTGGAGAGCTTAGGAGCACAACGCAGGCCCTCATCTCCCAGATCTCTACTCTCAGAGGAGATATGGATACTCTGAGAGTAGACTGCTTGGCCGACGGACTTGGTAGTGTGTGCGATTCTCTCTCTTCAACCCACTTTGCCGTGACTGTCAACTTCACAAACGTACGTTTACTATTACGAGGAAGACGAATGTGTCCACATCATTGGTGTTATGCAGATTGAAGATATAGAATTCAATGAAGATGTTAATTTCACTTCCATCAAGGAGGAAATCGATATTGCTAATGATATGTTCCAAAATATGGCCGAGTTCATTGATAGTGAAGCCAAGGATTACGGTGAGATTGGTTCAGACATTAAGGATACATCTTATACAGCTCTGTGTCGTGTGTTGTGGCTCAGGGCTAAGTCAGAAAGCCGAGGAGGAGTTCTCTAGTACTCACAGTACACTCGAGTACGACTACCTCAATGCCGTGAACGAGACCATTCGAAATGTGGGTCGAACCACTGTATACTGCATCTCACAACGTTATGAAACAATCCTGTGTGTTTCAGATTGTATCCAGTGGAGGTCATATCGACAATGCTCGTGATGAAGTCCACGATGCACTGAAGTACCTGGATAAATACGAAGCCGTTTGGTAAGTATTGAGCCCTGTTGTCTATGCAGAGGCCTTTTAACACTGCTTCTGTTCGCCTTGTCAAAGGAACGGAGTTGGAATTCTACTGGCATGCCTGTTTTTTCTGATTGTCGTCGTCTTTGTTGTCGGATCGTTCTGCGGGAGTTTTGGTTACAGTCGCGAGGCTCAGCCCAACAGTCGCAGCAGTGTCAGTAACTGTGGCGGTCGGTGTATTCTAGGGTAAGTTAACATTCAGTACATTCCTTGCCGCACACCTGAGAATTCATGGGAATCCAAATATGCTTCCATAGGGGAATATTCATAGGGGTCGTGTCCAGTCCCGTGCTGCTGATGACCGCCACTGTCAGCTTCGGTCTGGCCACCGGAGTCCAGAAGCTCTGCGAGGATCTCCAGCCGCCCAACTACCCAGTACTGAGAGAGG